GTATACATAAAATGTTGTGCTTTAATTGTAGGTAGAGCTTTAATAGGAAGCTTTTAAATAAAGCTGTTGTACATAAAATTTTAGCATAAATAAATATAAATATTTCCTGTAAGTATTTCTTTTCTCTTCTAAATATTTCCTCTAAACATTTTCCTAAGTATTTCTCTAATAATTTTTTCTAAGTATTTGAAGTATTCTTCCAAGTATTGCCGCCAAGTCTTTCCTCCTAGAATTTCTTTTAAATATTTCGTCTAACTCTTTCCGCTAAGGGTTTCCTCTCAGTATTTTCCTTAAGTATTTCCTCTAAGTATTTTTCCTAAATATATCTTCAAAGTATTTAAACTTTCTTTCCTCTAAGAGTTTCTTCTAAATATTTCCTCTAAGAATTTCTTTCAAGTGTTTTCTTCAAGAATTTCTTAAAAGTATTTTCTTTCCTCAAAGAATTTCTTCAAAATATCTGCTCTACGTAATTTCTTCCCCAGACGATCACTCGCTATACTGAACTATTCGACTGAAGAAATGCAATGCAGCTGCTGCCCTTTATATAGGACAACTTTCACTCAAAGCCTAAGTCGCGCTCAAAAGTTGAGCCAATGTTGACCAATGGGAACACTCTCTGCTGCTGCAACAGTTCTAGCTTCTTTTACTCAAGTACATGCAAGTACATACAAATGATCTACTTCTCTCTCCCTAGAGAGAGAGAGAGAGAGAGAGAAAGAGAGAAAGAGAGAAAGAGAGAGAGGGAGAGAGAGAGAGAGAGAGAGAAAGAGGGAGAGAGAGAGAGAAGGAGAGAAAGAGGGAGAGAAAGAGAAGGAGAGAAAGAGAGAGAGAGAAGGAGAGAAAGAGAGAGAGAGACGAACATTAAATATCAAGTTAATCATCTTGCTTTAATACTACCCATAATACTTAATAGATAAATGTCATAGAGGTACGCGTGCAAAAGGTAATTAGCTTCTGCCGGCATTTGCACATAAGCAATTTGCAAAGGTGCACATAAAACATTTGTACAGCGCTGAAGACATAATGGAGCATCGCGCATACGTCGCGTTGAACAAATTTAAATGAATGAATTGTGTTGCATACAAGGCAGATGCAGTGAAAGCGGCAGGGGCAGAGGCGGAGGCAGAGGCAGCAGTCAACAACAGTCAGTCAGTCAGTCAGTCAGCGGTGTGGCATGCATCTTGTGGCACTTAAATGGCAGTTGAGAACTTTTGCTGTAATCTGAAATTCACTTTTAATGCGGCCAGGCAAATGCTTGAAATTAAATGAAAGCGTTGCCGTTGCAGTTGCATTTACAGCTGCAGTTGCAGTTGCAGTTGCCAGTTACCAGTTGCAGCAGCAGCAGCAGCAGCCGCAGTCATTCAACATATTTTTACAGTCGTTCCCAGGCACATCACGTGATGCGGTAATTTATCACAAAATGTCTGTATATGTTAATTTTATTGCACATAAAATAAACGAAGAGCAGTGCAGCACACGCCCCCACATCGTCGCCGCCCAGCACCGACTGCCCCCTCTGGCTGCTGAAGGCGTGGCGGCCATATAAAAATGCATTAAACAAGCTAAAATCGCACAGCAGGCAGCAAGAGGGCGAGCCTTCGACTTTGCCTGTGTTTGGCTGCCTCCTCTGTGCCTCTGTTTACCTCTCGCCTCTCGCCTCTTCGCCTTTTGCCAGTCTGCCTCGCCTCTGTTTCGTTCCGCCTTGGCAAACGCAAAATGTGCAATAATTTCAATTACTGTAATAAATGTCTGTGTTGTTCGGAAGTGTGTGTCTCTCTCTCACTCGCCACTCACTCTATGCTCCACCTCTCTCGCTCTCTCACTCTCCCTCTCTGTCGCTCTGTCTTGTTCCCTGGCTTGAGAATTTATTGTGCCACTGCACATGTAGCCAGCAGTGCTACGGATTGCAGGGGCCACGTGAACTTAACGATTGTTAAGTGCGAGCGGTTTTCTGATTTTCAGCTGCCACATACACACACACACAAAAACACACACAGGCACACGCACTCACAAAGTCAGAAAGGCAAAGGCAAAGCCGACGGCGACGTCTAATCGGTCTGCGTCCAAAGTCAGCGCTGCTTGATATGAGGTGCAAAGTGTGATTTAATGGCCGAGCGTATCTGTATGTGTGTGTGTCTAGGTTTACATATGTGTGTGTTTGTCTGTGTGTGTGCGGTTGACTTAAACGGGTCAACAGGGCGCATACGTAATGTGAGTTACGTGTTGAGCCAAGAAAACTTGCCACAATATTTTCCTACAAATATAAATTAGACTAATTTGCTCAAGATAACAATTTTAAAATGGCTTTTTGGAACATACATATGTTTTTATGATATTATTATTTATTATTGCTATAATCTTTTATAATATTATGTGAATTAAATTTAATTAAATTGCGATTGGAATTTTTTCTACTGTTTATATGGAATCAATATTTTTTACGAATTTGTAGGAATTTCATTTAACGAACCGAAAAAATTTCGAATTAAAAATAAATTGGATTTTTTCAATATATGTTATTTAATTAATAACTTTTTACTATACTATACTATACAAAAAATTACTGTATATATTTAAGTTTTTATTTAGTTATATATAAAATAAAACAATTAACAGAAAAGCTTGATAAAATATTTTGAAAACTGTACTTAATAATGTTGTACAAAATATTTATGATGGCCAGTGTATATTGAGTCAAATCGTATTTGTATTATTATATTGATCAATAGTTGTTTAAAATTGCCGAAATGACATACACCGAAAATATTCAGTTTAGAATGTTAGTAATTTTTTATTGGCAAGGATAACTCAACTTAAATTTTGATTTGATTTATAAATTTCGTTAACTTAATTTAATTTATCTAGAATTTTTTTGTTTCCCTATTGCTGTTGCTTTTTTGCCATTAAATTTATTGCATTTTACTTGTTTTAGGCTCTTTCAAATTGTTTATAATTATTTTCTGTTTAGCTTTAACAGTTATTTTAGTTCTACACATTGAATTTAAATCACATAGAAATCAATAATCCAATCTTAATGTCCTTTGGTAAAATCAAATATCGGCTTACATTCTCGGCAGGCATGCAAATCAAATAAATCCGAGCTATAAATGAAGCAGCATACATATGTAAATTGAATCCCAGACACCCAGGACTACATATACATACATACATGGATGGCAATTTGAAGTGTGTCTCATTACTTCCATTATTATTATTATTATTATTATGCAAGCAGCAGCAAGTTTGCGTTTTCAGCACTTGCAGCTGAATGTGACAGATTACAGTGCTGGTCACGTGTTTGTGGCTACACGAGTCTGCGGTCGCCAATAAGAAACAATCATCTTATATCCATTGCACTGCGAGTCACTTAATTACGCCACAATTCAGCGTGAGTGTGTGTCAGAGTGAGTCTGTGGGCGTGTGTATGTGTGGCCTTATATGTAACTGTATGTAGGCTGCGGTTTATGCGCTTGACGAAGGATGCGACGAAAGTTATCACATAAACCGCTTAACTAAATTGCAGCTAATTAATTGAAGTCACTCGCATTTGCCATAATTAGCGATGTCATGCAAAAGCGAAAGCTTACACATGTACTCACACTTATGTATGTACTTGGGTGCATATGTGTGTGTGACACTTTTGATTTAGGATGAAAGTTCCAAGCTTAATAGCGGCTTAGATAAAATGCAGTCTAGCGGCTAAGCTTGATGAACAGTGAATTTTATTTAAATGTTTGTATGTGAATCAAGTCAAGTGCTTTATGTATATTTCAGTACATTCGTATTAACTTCATCATTGTCATCTAGGCTGCAATTACAATCATAGCCAAATTCTTCTAAAAACACTTTGAGTGGTGTTTATCTGTTCCCTCTCTCTATCTCGCTCTAACCAACGTAAGCTTTGCTCAAGTAGGTAGCAGAGTAAAGAATTCATATTCTCCTCTGCTTTAGTCTTATTCTTCTCATTTGAGCATTATTACAAATCAGTCTACTTATCTCGCTTGCACTTACATATGCAAATGACTTGTCAGCGTGAAACTAAAGTAACTCATTTGTGAGTTAAAGTATTTTGTTCACCATGCATACATATGCACACACATAGCTCTTCTAAGTTGAGTGAGCTTTTATAGCGAGCGCACTGCTTGTCTCACTCGCACATATACAGTCAGATCTTTCTACTGTGAGCGTAAATGAAAGCCTCCTTTCTAAGAAATCTGTTTTTCGTGCTCGCAAACTCACTCTTCTCTCTGACAACTCGGTTCGTGCATAAATCATTAGTTTTGATCGAGCATCCGTGTAGGGAAGTCGTAAGGCAGGTGATCTGGCTAGAATTTGAAAACAGCTTTCGTGCGAATTTAATTGTTAATATACGCATACATACATATGTCTGTATGGCCAAACATAAAAAGTACAAAAACGTATTTATGTATGTTTTATGCAAAGTTTTGCTTAAAATTCTGGTTGGTTAATGTTTTATCTCGCTCACACCTATAGTCATTTTGTATGTCGGTAAGCTTACAGCGTATGCGGATGTAGGCGAAGTTTTTAGTGGGAATTCGATTAACGAAACGTAAGGGTATGTATGTATGTACATATGTAAGCTTATAACGTAAGCGAAATAAATTTTGAGTGAGAATCCGATTAAATAAATAATACAGGTATATACCAAAAGCTTAGAGATAAATATATAGATTTCTGTTTATTAAATATTAAGTAAGAATTATAATAAAAATATAAGAGTGTTAAAATTAATCCAATAAGTATTTATTAACGTCGTTTCTGTGGAAATTGCATTCCCATGTTAACGAATTTTATTTAAATCTACCTAAAATTTCATTAAGTTAAAGAAATTTGCCTACCATTTATTTAAATTGAATTATAGAGAATCTATAGAAGCATAAAATGAACTATAACTAGTTTAGTTAATGCTTGGTAAAATGCCTACCTTTTCTATAGCAGCAATTTGTGTAATCATTTGTATGTTTTATTATATTTCTCAGAAACTGTACGATATCGTATGTGCCGCAAGTTCCATGGCTGCTTAATGATACAATACGGGAGAATATCCTATTTGGTGAATCATTTCGGCCGAAGCGTTACGATTTTGTGCTGGATGCGTGCGCACTAAAACCGGATATTGAACTAATGCCAACCGGTGATTTTACGATAATCGGCGAACGGGGCATCAATCTATCCGGCGGACAGAGGCAACGCGTCGCTGTCGCGCGTGCAATTTATTCATCGGCCAACGTCGTCATAATGGTGAGTAAGTAAATGCCAGGGACACCACGCAAGAACACGATCAAGGACCTGGCACGTCGCGTCGTCTTAACTGCAAGCCAATCCGCTGCCTCAGTGCACTTTATGCCAATGCATTTGCGCTCATAAATTCCACGAAACGTCTCAACTTTAAATTAAACATAAAACGAAAATCTCCAAACACTGTTGCAGGGTAAACAAGTTTTACGAGAATTGCCCATATACATACATACATACGTACGTATGTATGTATATGAGTTGCCCTTTTTTCGGAGATACGCTTATCGTATTGAAAGTGGGAAAACTTAGAGATGTCAATAAAAATTAATGTCATTAACTTTTCATTTATTAAGATTGGGGATGGAATATTCGAGTCGATTCTTTTATGATTTGTTTTTACGGAGTAGTAAATTAAATTCTATGTAACATATGATTAGAGCAAAAACATAGTTTATGTATTCGAAAAGGTTGAGCTCTTAATTTTTAGGAAAATATCTGTAGAGTAGAAAAAATGCAACCAAAAATATAATTTGTGTAGTAGAAAAATAAAATAATAATAATTATTATTTATTATTACAAAATAGGATTTTTATGGTCAACAAAATTCGTTCAAATGGAATAGACAATACGAAAACCATGGACTTTTTTAGAGCTCAAATACAGAAATATTTTTTAGTGTAGGCTTGGGCAATTGTAATTGGAATAATATATAAGGAAACAATAAAATATATTTTTTAAAAATATAATAATAATAAATGAAATGAAACCAATTAACTAAATTAAATAAAAGATAAAATAAATGTGATACTATTTGAGTGTAGGAAATAGCTGAAAATAATTGCTTAAAGTGAAAATAATTGTTGCTCCTCAAAAATGTTAATGAACAGAATTTTTGTTATAAAAAATTGTTTGTATTTATTTTATTTTTAATTTTTAATTCATATATTTTATTTTTGATTTTTAATTTATATATTTTATTTTTTAATTTCTAATTTATATATTTTATTTAATTTTTAATTTATATATTTTATTTAATTTTTTAAAATTTAAAATTTATTTATTTATTATTTTTATATTTTAATTTATACATTTTATTTTTAATTTACACATTTTGCTTTTAATATTTTTGTTATGTATTGTTGACAGACTAGTAGTAGTAGACTAGTAGAAGAGTTAAAAATGTAGGTCTAAATATTTAACTATTTATGTCCTTTTAACATAATATACAATATGTTAAAATTGCATAAATATTAAATAAATAGTTTCGTAAAGCGACGACAGTCTGAGATTTGTGGACATTATGAGAGCTTGGCTATTGTGTGATAAGCTCATATAAATCTGTATTCTATATATCTGTATAGCTATATTAATATCTATTCATTCCTTTTGTGAGTTAATGCACAGTAAGCGACTAATAATATTGAAATGTAATTGCATTTTGTAGGATGATCCGCTGTCATCGCTGGACAATGAAGTGGGCAGCCATGTCTTCGAGCAGTGTGTGCGTCAGATGCTTTTGAAGTCGAATCGCACCATCATCCTGGTGACACAGCAATTACAGTTGATCAAGGAGGCGGATTATGTAAGTGGCCCCCTCGGGGCTAGACAGCATTTCATATTCAAATTTCTTAGTCCAGTGTTGCCGGTCAGATCCTGAAGTTGCGGTGGACTCGATATTGGGCGCTGTGGCCGGGCATGCAATGTGCTCGGACGTCCTGCTGCCTGCGTCCAGTGTCCTGCTGCCTGCCTGCTGCATTCAGCGCTTTTTGCCAGCATCCGTTTGTTACTTTGCGCTCCAAATGCCGGGGCCATTTATCGCCTTTTGGCCATAAATGCAATTGCCTGGAAAGACCATTTGTTGCCGGTCTGCTGGCTCCCACTCTCCACGCAGCCTCTGCTCCCTTCCTCCTGCTTGCGCACACATTTTTACAATTATTTGAGCAGCAACTGCAACGCAGCAGCGACAGCAAAGAAAAAAAAAAAAAAAGACAGCAAACGAAAAAATTTCAAATTTAAATTTCGAAATTGAATTTATTGCCTTTTGTGCTGCACCTCCTTTCGTTTATATACCCTGTACGAATAGAGATAAGACGAGTTTGCCGTAGAGCTATATAGACTTGGTTAGGCTATGCTTAGGACGTATGCAGTTGGTAATAGGTATTAACTAAAAATAGATTTATAATTAATTTGCGCTAAAGCAAATCCACCCCAATTCTCGTAACATAATAATTGATCCGTGTTTTTAATATATGGTTTATTTCATATGTATATACATATATTTATTTTTTTATTTAGTCATTCAATTTGGTTTACTCTGTTACTCAGTCAACCAATCATTCAATCAAGCAGCCAGTTAATCTGCTTACTGTCTGACTCAATTCATAGAGTGAATGAGCAATGAATGTGCAATTCATTACCTAGAAGCTCATTTAGTTTATGAATTCCGTCAGTTGTTCCGTCAGTCGCCAAATTACCCTGTTGGCATCAATCAATCAATGAATCGTAAGGTATGAGTAGCTATACTCTCGAACCGTCAGTCACTCAATCAGTAAGCCTATTTATGATACAAGGCAATGCATAGCCAGATTATTAGCTCATTAGCTTGCCCGATAATAAGACTGTTAGTGTATTAGTTTGTTCGGCGGTCGGCCTGACAATTGTGTTGGTTCTGCGAGTTTATGAATAATAGTAAAGTATATCTATAAGTCAGTTAATATTGTATAGGTTGTCGTCTATCTCAATGTGAGTTATACAATATAATATATGTAAGTCTTTGATCAGTCTGTCTTCCAGTCTTTCGTTTCGTAAATCAAAATTCCTGTTAGCATCAGTCAATGTCTAAGATCTGACAAACAGTCAGTCAATCAAATCATCAATCAATTAAATTTCTAGATATAAATAGTTTCGCATTTTACAATCTGACAGTCTATGGGCAATCAACAATAAATCAATATTTTTATTGAGGTGATAAAATAAATAATATCTAGCTGATAAAAAATAATTAAGTAGTTAATCAGTCAATCAAACAATATGTCAAGTCATAAAGTCTTTAAATTCTTCCGTCTCTAAATCAGTTCAATCAGATTTATATAAAATTCCTCAAATCTAATATATGAGAATTTTCCTATTCATTTACAGGGCAACTGTTTAAAAGTCATCCATTTTCTTTTTACCATATTCTAGCTTGTTATGTTCTGTAACGTTTTCGTTTTTATTTTTTCTACTTTTCCTGCGTTTTGTTTTCTTTCGTTTCATTCCGGCGACCTTTCAGTTAATTGTGATGAAGGATGGCCGACTGCAAGCTTGCGGCACTTATAAGGACATTGAGCTAAAGCAGCCGCAAATAATCGCCAAATGGAACTCGATAATTGCTAAGGCAAACGAAAATGCAAAGGACCAGCAACAAAAGTGAGTAGAAGCAGGCCTAGAGCTACTCTCAGAGTCAGCCTCAGCCTCGTCGTCAATCCCCAGAGAAAACTTTGTGTTTTCATTTGAGAGAAGACATAGAGATTAGTATATGACTGAAGCATTGTCAACGGCTTATTCCTTTGTGTATGAGGCAGAAATTGAGGGAATCTTTGTTTGCAGCCGAAGCACGCCCAAGCTTTTCTTTACTTTTGCATGAGCCACGCCCTTTTCTCCTGCCTCAAATGGTTCGATTGCCATTAAAGTTCATTTGTGACAAAGCATAAAAAGAAATGATTGACGCAAAAACTGGAACAATGTTAGCATAATGAGACGGTTGCAAGGGCTGCCTTTGTGGTCTAGGCATTTTTTTTTTTTTTGATTATCACACAGACATCTACAGCTAAATTATACTTAAAGAGCTCTTAAAATGAAATACTTTATAAATTTGTTGGGATGCGCCAGGGATGTGTATGGCAAAATTTTAAAGCATTTGTGTGTGGAGTTTTTTCATCGTCAAATACAATAAAATTTCATTGAAAATGAGCAAACAGGAATCGTTCAAGTCAATATAAGAAATGCTATATAAGTTCGATTAGGTCTGTATAAGGTAGTATAAGTATCATTATTGTTTACTAACTCCTGTTGGCATGTTTAATACTCTACAAGAATATTTAAGCAGTTGTTTTGGACTAAACATATCAATGAGTTTTATAAGATTGTTAAAGTCTTTACAGAGTCTGTATAAGTAAGTTTGTATAAGACTGTATAATGTATGCCTGTACCTGTACAAGTCTGCTTTAGTTCGTATACGGCGTCATAAGTCTATAAAACCTTGAAGTACCTCGTAGAAGGAAGTCTATATAGCTCTATATAGACTTTAGTCTTTATAGTCTTTATAAGACTGTTTAATAATTTTATAAATCTGCACTAGTTTGTTTAAGTCTGTGCAAGTTCTTATAGTTCCAGTAAGTATAGCTCGAGTAGTAAATCGGTAAAAGTCTATATAAGTCGGCTTGTACTTCTCTGCCTTCTAAGTGTGTATAAGTAGGTAGTATAAGTGTGTATCTCTATGTCAGCTTGTTTAATTATGTGAAAATTTTCTATTATTTTATAGAATTTACATGACTCTGAAAAATTGTCTACAAGATTGTATAAGTAAGTCTTTATAAGTCTTTACAAGATAATATAATAATAGCGTTTACAAGAGCTTTTATAAGTAAGTCTATGTAAATCAGTATACGATAGTCTAAGTACGATAGGTCTGTTTAAGCAGCTACTAGTGTGTTTAGTATTGACTAATTTTATCCAATAATATGTTGACTAATTATATAAGATAACTGTGAGCTCATTAAGGAATATTGGTGTATAAGATATTCCTAATAGACATCAATAGAAGAAAATCCCTCTATCCCGTTCACTGCCTCGTTTTCTCGATCTGTCTACGCCGCATTTAAAGCTTGATTTGTAGCTATCCATTGAGATTAAACTTCCGTCCGTTTAGAGGCAAAGCTCTATGTGTCACACACAATATGTTTGATATGCAGTCAAGCGAATGGCATTTATTTCTTTGTTTTTCATTTTGCCACATATTGTTTGTTGTTAATAGAGTTCTGCAAGCGACTACAGCGCCACTCTGAGAATTTACTTGGATTGTATTTATTCTTGATTGTCATCCATTTACAGTGCCACGGAGCGCACAGCTCGGGAGCGCTGGAAGCTATTCAAGAATGTCAGCAAATTGGGTTTGCAGCGCTCAATATCGATTAATTCGGAAACGGGAGGCGGCAATAACTCGGAACTGGATTCCAATTGCTTGGATGGCAGCGTATCAATGTCATTTAACAATATGCTCAATGATGCCGTCGCAGAGGACGACGAGGACGATGATCTGCCCGCGGTGAGTGGAGCGAAAAGTGTTTTATGGCAATTAAAATTAGAAGAAGACGTGGAAGTTGAAGACTTTTAATTTGTAAATCGAAAATACTTTTCAATCGTATATATAGGAAAAGACAGATTATAATAAACACTAATTATTCTGTGTGAATTAATATATATATTATATATATATAATATATTTTACTTAGCATAAACCACAAAGATTTTCACATTTTATAGAGAAAACGTAAATGCTAGATAGAAAAAATTATATATAGATTTAATGTATATTAATTTATATCCAAACATTTCATAGTTTTCAGGGGTGAGGGTGAAATTTTGATTTAAATCGAAATTCAATCGTACGCCTCAGGAATAATGATGTGATATTTTGATTATGAGGAGAGCTTATTTTATGAAAAGCAGCAGATGTCTGCTTAGTTTGATTGAAAGAGGAACAGAAATAAAAAATAAAAAAATGTAGAAAAAAGCAATTTATATAAAAGAATATTCAAAATAAATTTTAAAAAATTATTTAAAAAAATAACCGATTTACATATAAACATTTTTTTTTTATATAAAATATATTTTAAATATATATAAAATATGAAAAATATTTAAAGATAATAATTATTAAAAAATAATAATATTTAAAATAATAAAAATTTAAGAAGAATTAAAATTATTAAAAATAAAAATTATTTATTAAAATTTAAATTTGTAATGTTAAAGAGAATTGAAATATACAAATATATTGCAATTTAATGTAAGCATTACATATACCTATCGGTAATAATCGTTATTTTTATTCGATTTCTTAAATGTGGTTTGCGCACTAAATATGTTTGAAGTAAACGTTTTTCAATATGTGGAGACTAGGAATAATTTTCTTCAGATAATAACTGTAAATTCATTATAAATACGGTTTACAATTTTAAACAAATTTGGTATACAAATTTATTTAATAAATAATTGCACACAGTGAAACGTATCTCTGCATACAGGGTATCTCATAGGCAAGTATTCTCGACGTAAAAATGTAACTTAAGAAAAAACCAAATTAAATTGCATTGATTGACGGAAGATAATTTCAGCTAATATAATTAAAACTTGTTAATATATGTATAATCAAAATTAAAAAAATTAAATTATATTTTAAAATGAAATATTAGGTTTAGATGGTGTGGAAAATCTAGCTCTATTTCTAACTACATATTCTGCTTTCCTCTCTTCTTCTCTTCTGCTCTCTGCTCAGTCCCTCTCCCTGGCCAGCGGCATCAGCTGTGGCTTGCAGTCGGCCGGCAGCTTCCCTCTGCAGCGCAAGCGTGCGAGCGTCTATGGCTCTCGGCACTTGATCTACGATGTGCCGCTGCCCATAGACGAGTGCCAGGCGGATGATGTCATAATGCGACCACGTCGGCGCTCCACGCTGCAGCGCCGTGGCAGCAGCGCACGCTCGAGGAACTCGTGGCACCGACTCAGTGGCCTCAGCTCGGCGACGGTCACGTCCACCTCGAGCACGAACAGTGGAGATCTGCTGCGTCGCAGTCTGATGACGGCCAGCTGCAGCAGCTATGCGGAGAGCAGTCTCGATGGGGGCGACTCGATTGCAGATGGAGTCACGACCTCGCCACTCGTAGCAGAGCTTTCTCCACGCGCCCAATCCTGGCAGCCAGCACAGCAAACGCATCATGCGCCGGTGACGCGAAATGTCTCCTCGCCGCCGGCCATGGAGGCGCCACCTACGTTGCCTGGTACGGAGGTGGCGGTGTCACCGAGTCGCGGCAGTTTTCAACAGTTCCTGCGACGCATGTCCATGCGGCGCTCCAATAAGCCAAAGCATCATCATCGCCCGCTGAGCGCGGCCAACTCGATTAGGTAAATAATTTGCATGGCCGTACTGAATGTAACAACTGTATTTAGCTTCAACTTTATGCTTTGCTATCTCCTCTTCCAGGAGCATCTCGGAAGAGTCCAGTGCGGCAGCTCTCTTGCCAACAGTTGAGTTAAGTTCAGTGCCTTCAACGCCTGTCGCTGACAATTCCAATCCGCAGCCAACAACAAATTTAGAAGCAACTCTCGACGACTTGGAATTCAGGAGAGAGATGCACGAATTGTCTGCTGCGCTTCCTCCTTCACCTCCTGCTGCTGTCATAGCAGAGACACCACCAGTGAAGCGTAAGTTATGCATCTGGCATGTTGTAACAACTCGATTTCCAGTTGCCTAGTTGCCAACTGGCTAAAGTTCGTACACTTCCTTCATTCGCTCGCCTCAACAACATTTGTATGCATCGAAAGTTCCACAGCGCCATATGGGTCAACTAAATCGATGGCAGACAGTGCGTATACGTGATTTTGACTTTAAACAACTTTCGACAGGGCACAGCACACTTGATTGTTATTAAACATTGGCATAGCATTGGGGCGTAGCTTTGATTATTTTTAGTTTCTACCCCACGCACATTTTTTTTTCCTTTTTTTGTTTTTCTTTGTTTTTTTTTTTTGCATATTTTCTTTGAACTCAGACAAGTGAGTTGAAGGCCAACGTCTGCCCGGTGACTCTGACTTAAATAAGCCTCGCATTCACAAGGCATTTGCCCATTTTGGCAATCAGTTGGAATTTGACATTCGGTAGTGGAAATTCCATGGCAGCAAACGAAAGAAAATTTCTATGAAAGGTTAACTGAAGCATATGCAGACAAAGATCTTAAAGGCGTAGTTAAATTGTTCTTAAAGGTTTTCTTTATTCAACCGAATTGAGCATATGCATGACATTTTTTTTAGTTATATAAATTTCAAGTATTTCACTTGCATATATGTTATTTATATACATTTTTTATATTTAATATACATATATTTTTATTATTTATGAATATACATATATTTTGTGTTTATTTATTTTATAAATTCATATTAATTTATTATCTTAATATACAAAATGTAATTATTTTACATGCATATTTAATATATATTTTTTATTTATTTATAATTTCTTATTCGTTATACCATTTATTAAATATTAAATATTTTTATTTAATTTTGTATAGGTATATGTAGGATATTTAAATGTTATATTCATATCAAAATTATTTTACTTATTTTTTGTTGGGCAGCCAAACACGAAAGTTTCTCGCTATAATAAAAACCTAGATATTATTTCCAACTATAGCCTAATCAATTCTAAGCACAAATACTTTCAACTAATTAAATTTGGTTAAATAATTACTTTTCGATAGCGAAAACTTTCTGCAATGGTCTTAGGAGATTTTCTTCATTTTTTCATGAGTTTTAAGCCAAGAAAGCTGGACTTTTTATTTTCTTTGCAAATTTCCGCTTGTTTATTTACATTCGAAGCGAGCAGTGAGTCGCTGGCGACGCTCAGCTAATTGATAATGAATTTGCCGTAATGCAGAACGAATAATATCCAGAGCATGGGAAAAAGGTCGAAAAAACGTGAAGGTAATTGACAATCAATTTGCATATTGGCTAATTAAAATGCGAGTGGGTGAGCGTCTGGTCTGAGGCCATCAATAAGCGTTAAGGAATATGCAATAGAGAGTTTGGAGCAACTGCAAACATTGACTGCTCGCTCGAGGCTTCGGCTGGGCTCAACTCTTTTGGGGGGTGTTGGCTCTGCGTTGGCTCTGCTTTGCCGTAAATGAATATTGATTAGAGTGAATTTGTATGGCGGGGCGACTACTAAGAAAATATTGCCATATTTATCACAATATCTGTGTGAATATTTTCGAAACAATTCAGTTGAGTTGCTTATTTGTGTGTGTGTGTGTCTGTGTGGCAGAGAGAAAGACTTAAATCAAGTTTGATTTTTAAAAGTTTGCTACTCCCAGCGGTAAGTCAAAAAGACTACGATAAGTTTTATTCTCTCTGTCTTTATATATCGCTCTCTTTCTTACTCCTTTCGCTTGCATCTCTGTCTGGAGGTATGCCACAAATAAAAGTTTTGCTTAACTTAATGCATTGATCTATCTACCCACTGTCAATATTTTGGCTGACAACTTGCCGACTTTGAGCCCGAAGCGCCAAACTTTCAAGTTAATCAGTTGCTTGAGTGTCACAGAAATTGTCGGAATTGCGACCCTTTCGCAAGTGCAATGAAAATTGTTTGCTCAACAATTCGAAACTGATTCAGCTGTTCGCTATGAATCCGGCAAGCAATTTTGGCTTTTGCAGTTCATATTCAACTGCGTATTTCATAGATTACACACTTATGCAGTTAATGGATTATTAATGATAATAAACAGAGTATTGAACATATAAATTATATTCAGCATTCTCAATATTTTTAATAAATTTTCATATTAATTTAATTTACTCTACAGTTATTTTCATTAAAATTATTTTAAACAAATTTCATGCAAAATATTTACTTTCTAAAAGCGAATATACGAATAAATATTGATTCAATTCAACTGTTCTGGCTGTTACGCATTGTTGATTGCAACATGTGGCACATTGTAAAAAGACAACAGCAAAAAACTATATATAGAAGAAGAAAAGTATAAAAGAAAAACTGTAAAAGCGCTCAAAGATAATGCAAAAAAATAAAACTTGTTTTTGATTGTTTGCTGCGACTGCCATATATACATATATACATATATATGTGTGTGTGTGTGTGCGAGAATATAAAATTGAATTTTTATTGGAACAAACATCAGAAAGGAAACGCATTGATATCCAGACAGGTGGAAAAGTACAAAAATCGTAGGGGGCGCGTGGCGAGTGCCTGTGGCATGCCAATCGATGCAAAAATAACACAAATATTTTATTACTCAGTCACATCGCTGGGCTACATTGTAATTGCCTTTGTTGTTGCCGTTGCCGTTATCGTTGTTGTTTGGGCTTTCGCGATATTTTGATTAATAATGTTTTTAAAAGGTGGAACTGTATAGCGACCTTGACACACATCCAATTGTTGAAGCTCTAAATTAACCAAATATACATATGTTTTTTCCCGTTTAAAGAACATTTTGTGCTGTTTACATATTTTATGAGCACAGATAGAGCACACAAGCTTGAGTGCGTCACGAAATGTGTTTAATGGGTTTTATTTAAATTTGTACATAAATATATAAATTTGTATATATTTCAAAAATTTGCAGGTTAAAATACTTTTATTGCACTTTTGGTCTGATAATTGAACTGGATACAAGAGTTTTCTTCATTTCATTTCTTCATTTTGGACGTTTGTATGTTACTAAAATTCAGCTGATGATTGATTTTAATAAGTATTTATAAAAGAATTTTCGAATACCACTTAGCTTCAGAGACTAAAACCTAGTTCGTCAAGAAATCTAATGAATTGCATTTAAAATTCACTAAACATACAAACTGTAAGAAATAAATTATTTTATTGGATTGAACGATAAGTTTGAGATATTGTGTACATTCTTTCCATGTGTATAAGAATAGAGGGATTGAATTATTTTCTGTACGCTATTTGAAGAACAATAAATTGTTATGAAAGCAGCTACAAAGATACAGATACAGTTGTTGATACACAGATAAATATACACAGATGCAGCTACACAGATAAATATACACAGATGCTGATATCTGTATCTGACTACCTATATATGGGTATTTGTATCTGAGTATTTTTATCTGGGTATCTATAGTTAAGTATCTGTATCGGATTATATGTATCTGAATATCTGTGTATCTGAGTATATGAGTATATGAGTATCTGTATCTAAGTATATGTATCTGATTATCTGTACCCGAGTATCTGTATCTGGGTATCTGTATCTGAGTATCTTTATCCGATTATCTGTTTTTGAGTACTTATATATATATCTGTATCTGATACTATATATTTATCTGTATCTATATATGAATCGGTATCTTATTATCTGTATCTGAGTATCTGTGTCCGAGTATCTGTATCTGAGTAACGGTATCCGAGTATCTGTATCTAAGTATCTGTATCTGTATATGACTATCTGCATTTGCTTATCTGTATCTGAGTATCTTTATCCGATTATCTGTTTTTGAGTACCTTTGTATAGATCTATATCTGATTATCTGTATCTAGTTATCTGTATCTGTATCTGAGTATCTATATAAGAGTATTTGTATCTAAGTACCTGAGTCTGAGTCTGAGCCTGAGTCTGTATCTAGGTATCTTTATCTGGTTATCTGTATCTGAGCACCTACATCTGAGTATCTGTATCCGAGCACCTATGTCTGAGTATCTGCATCTGTATTTGTAGCCATTTTGTTGAACGGCTAACTCGTGAATAGCTAATAGACTTGCTCTGATCCATTTCCAAAAATTGTATTCAAATCTTTTTTCCACGTGCATTCAACATTATTCTTGCTCTTCGCAGATGTTAAAATCGACTTCAATGCATTGCCAACAAATGGCCGCAACAACAACAATAACAATGATGACAACGAGGCAGGCAATGAGGATGATGGCGATGACGCTGACGTGCCAGACGTGACGTCACTGTCAATGCAGCTGAAGAGCAAAGAGCGTCAAAGGGAACGGACACGGGCAGAGGTCCGGGCTGCACATGCAGCAGGTGCAGGTGCGGTTGCAGAGACAGCAACAGCAGCGACAGCGCCAGATGTGGAGCGCAAATATGGCCAAATATCGAATCATATATATCTGCTCTATATGCGCGCCTCTGGCCTGCCCATAATCATTGTCTTTTTTATCACCGCACTAATTTGGCAATGTTTGCGTGTCTACACGGACGTTTGGCTGCAGCATTGGAGCGACCATGTCGATGGTGGCAGTAGCGACACGGACACGGATGCGGCCAGCCACGAAGTCACGTACTATTTTCGCATGTATGCAACAATTTCGTGTGTTTGCATTATAATGGCCATGATATCAACACCGGCCGGACAATGGGCCGGCTGCAAAGCCAGCCGTAATTTGCACGATAAACTGTTGCTAACGATTTTGCATAAAACTTTGCATTTTTTCCAAGTGACGCCGCTCGGACGCATTCTGAATCGTTTCAGCACCGATATGGCGATCATTGATAAGGTAAGATTTGTTATTTTTATCAGCTACCCTGTGTGCAATAAACAACTGAGATGGGTATGCTAATTATGTGAAGAGAGATTTAACAAGGGGTTGGCTGAACTATAAGTCTATTCGAATGATTGGCTGAAGAAGAGCTTTACATATAACAGATTTTACGTAACAGATTTATAGAAATTGTATAACAGTTATGTATTTTTGATATATACAGAAATATATATATAGATTTAAGTGTTACTTATTGAATGGGACAAGGGGCTGAGGGACTATGAGCCTATTCGAATGATTTGCTGACGAATCTCTGTATATATAACATCTTTTATATAACAGATTTATGTAAATTGTATAATATTAATGTACAATTTTATTTTTATTTTTATATTTGCTCAAATAACACAAAACCAATATTTCTATTATATAGATTTGTATATTACATACTGGATAAGACCAGGGTCTGGGAAATCTAGAAACTTATTCGAATGAATTGCTGAAGAAGAACTTTACATATAACAAATTGTATATTACAGATGTACATATGAATTGTGTAACATTTATATAACAGTTTTACATTTTTTTTTTAATATTTGCTGAACTAACATAGTAATATTCTAGATTTGAATATTACTTTAGCTTGATTTTACAACTTCAATAATTAAATTAGAAATATCTTAAGTTATAAAATTCTACCATGTAGAGCCGGGTAATACACGATTGGCATACTTACATGCCTACATTTATATTATATATATAAGCATATATATCCATCAGTATATACATACATATATCTGCATAATTTTCGGTTAGCTTTTTGTATTGTGCGGCATAAAATATGAGCATATTGCCTGTTGTTGTTGTTGTCGTCTCTGCTTTAGATTTGGAGCTGATAAGCACGCATTATGCATTGATGTTTTGCATATATACATGTGTGAGTGTGTATGTGTGTGTAAGAGCGTGTGTGCTTATGCGTAATATATGAGTTTGTTGACGCCATTTTTCGGGTTGCTTTCATTATAGTTTTTCACTTTGTCAATTTTGCACATAGAAATTTACAAAAAACTTGTACGATTACGTATCCGTGTGTGCGAGTGTGTGTGTGCATGTTTTTGGTTTGATTAAAATGACATTGATTGATCTTCTTACTCATTCTCTAATTAGTTTCTGTTGAAGTTTGTTTTGCTTGAGCTGTCTTTAAGCAAAATTCCAAATTTTCTTCGGTATTTACTTTTGTCGCCTTGCATTAAAAGCAATTGCAGTACATTTTAAAGTTTATTAAAATTGAAGTCGTTTAATTTGTATTGTTTTTCATTCGATATAAATATTAGAGAGAGAGAGAGAGAGAGAGAGATTGATTTGTAAGATGGATTAAAGCTTAAGCATTTAATGGGCAAGAACACACTTTCGACTGTTGACAAATAAGTAGATGCATTGCTTACATTAGCTGTCAGGGAATATCTTGAGATAGAACAGTTTTTTGTATACCCTGAACAAAATGAAAATGGGCAATCTGAGTATAATTATTTTTTTTTTTATGTAACAAGCAGAAAGAGGCGTGGCAGTCTTTCAAGCCCTGTCTGTCTGTCCGTATGTGTGAACGCGTCGATATAAGAATCTATGTGCAAGATAAAATTGAAATGCTTTGCATTGCAGATCCCTCTTTATCCTCGCAGATCGGAGTTTGTCTCAAAAAATGCCTTGAAATAGAATTGAGTTAAGGTAAAAAGCCGTTGCTTTTGGTCTGTGGATGTTTATTGCATACAAGTGCATACGGTTGTGAAATAGATTTTATTTAAACATTGTTCAGCATCAGGTTTTGTTCATGCAATATGTTTCTTGTTCCACAGTGTAATTATTGTTAATCCAATTTTGTATAGGTATTTCTTTTTCTTCTGGATCTTCAACCTTAGAAAGTTGCAAATAAATAGGATTAGTACATACATACATATATACATACTTATATATTCATATATATGCTTACCTATATATTGAACTCCTCTGGTATAATGATTTTACCATCCACCATTTCACATTCATTCGTAAAGAAATCTATGATTTGCTGGGGGCACATCTGTTTGGCCATATCGGATGGGATGAATACGGGTGGCGCATCCTCCAATAGCACGAGATAATAAAATTTGTTCAATATAAACTTAATGCCCACCACTTCCTTTATAAGTAGGTTTGGCGGTATTCCGAAAGGATTTTCATTTTCAGGCTGCACCATTTTGAGGCAAATTAAATTTGAATTCACCAATTCGTAGACCTTTTCCAATTGCATTGACAGCTGCGATTGAAGTTTTTGTCGTGTCGTCCAGAACCAGATCAACTCAACTGTTGGAACAAAACTAGCTCCGGTCTACTTAGATGACTGAACTTTTGTTGTGTAGTGTTGGCTAGTTTTTAAATGTGCAGGCGTGACACAATTTGCACGGGATTTTAAACGATGTTACGATATTTCATGTTAAGCTTGATAAGTACATACATATATTCAATTAATTTATTTTATTTTATTTACTTTTGTTTTTATATGGCTGTGCTATAATTTATTAATATGTAATATTTTTTATTTTTTTTATTTTATTTTTTTTATATTATTAACAATCATGTTAGATTATAAAATTCTTCAGCAGATTTACATAAATATATTAACAGCTTTAATAATTACTATACAAATTCCAGCCACGAGCGTTAACTGAGAAACTAATTATTATTCAATTTTATTCATGTATCTAATTTAATCAAACATTTGGCTTTTAACAGTTATAATGTCATTTTGTCACTGTCTATATGTCTGTCTGTCTGTCTCTTTGTTTTATTCTGTCTGTTTCGACCTCAATCTGCATGCGTTTGCCAAATAAATCTTCAATTATCGTGCACTTTACAAGTAGGTTGGGTCACTTTGTGCAATCGCAGCGGCTGGCAAACAAAATTTGATTATGAAACATTGTCGGGGCGTGGCAGGGGCTGAAGCTTGGGCTGGGACTGTGACAGTGGCTCTGCCTGGGGGCCGGAGTCGGGTTCTGTGGCTCACATTTGTCAAAACGTGAGCCAGGATACACAATTCATTGGCTGGCCATGGAGCTTGCAAATTGTAGTCGTTCTCGTTAATTTTAGGACAAACGACAAGCTTTGGAGGCAGCAGGTTGGGCTGGGGTTGGGGTTGGTTGAAGGGGTGCGCCATGAGTGCGGCATGTGGCATACACAAATTTAGTCATTTGTCAATTCGTGTGCTGCAAACGAGCAAAAGTCATTTAAAATCGTTGCCCGAAAAGCCGCAGCAGCTACCTGGCGGCAGCCCAACATGTGCCTTCTGTCTGGCCGTCTGTCCGTCTGTTGCTGCTCCCACTGCTGCCATGTTGCATGCCACACGGAGCCGTTCACCCAGCTGCGGTGCCATACACACAGTTGAGGTCAGCAAAATATGTACAGGCCGTATGTAATCAAATAATTTGCAATACTGAAAATTTGAAGAAAAAATGGGAATATGATTTAACAGTTTGTTGTATTTATTTTCATTCCATATTACTTACTTCTAGGCATAGATGTAACTTTATACAATAATTATTTTTCGAACTTGTGCCAATTAGATCGATTTTGGCTTTGTCTTTCCCTATGCGCGTTTGCAGAGCGTACAATTTGTCGCCTGTTACTTGACAGGCTGCCCAACTGTTAAAAGACTCGATTACTGCATCATGAGATTGTCCATTTCCAGTCGTATTGTCTCACGATTGAGTGATATTGGCTTTTAACAGTGGTATTCTCTGCGTTCACTTAAAATAAGAACGACCCTGCACGAAGTGCCAATGTAGCTATCTCGCTCTTACTCAGCACACATACTGCGGTCAGCAACAGCTATGTTTGTCTCTTTCTCTCTCGCAGAATACATGCAAGCAATTAGAAGCCTGCAGCTCAAATGCAAAATCACTCAGATTTTTTATTTCAGAAGAACTCAACTTGCACTGTTACAATTACTTTATCATATTACTGTTAATTACTCAGTCAACTACTATTACTAGTACTGCTAACGCAGGAAATGATATAAAGCAGTAAGAGAGAGAGAGAGAGAGTCAAAGAGATTAGAATTATATGAAAATTTAAGTAATATTTAGAATTGCAATTTATATTGTTTATCGTGTCAACTATATACTAAGCACTATATCAAAATGATAAACTGCTGTTAATTAGAATTTGTTTCATGTTATTTGTATATTTAGGGTTTTTATTCTTTTATTATTATTATTATTATTATTATTATTATTATTATTATTATTATTTATTTATTTTTGAGTTGTAGCCTCTCCAACAGTTTAAGTAGCACCTGCTCAAAAGAAAATATTATAGTATAGAAAGTCTATTCTGAAAAAAATTCTTCAATTGGCCACATTTAAGGAAACCAGACAATTTTCTCTCAATTCAAAATGTTCAATAATTCAAATTGAATTAGTCTGCCTATTATCTTGTCCATGCCTGTACACATATGCTACTATACATAGGAACGTATATTTTTTCATTTACAGAAAATCGCTGCAACCTGTCAACGCCTGCTGCAGTTCAGCCTGCTCTGCCTCTGTGCGATACTCATAAATGTGAGCATTACGCCCTGGTTTCTGGCCCTCACTCTGCCCATTTGTGGGGCCTACTATGTCATTCAGAAGTTCTACAGGTGCTCGGCACGGTAAGTGAAATGTTTTCTCCTTATTGCTTATGTTGCTCTATCACACACACACACACACACATACACGCACATAGAATTTCCTTTTGTAATGCTGACAAAGCGACTTTCATAATTCTTGTGTTAACTGTAATAAATATGCAACTGCCACGCCTCCATTTGGGCATGTTGCTCAACAGTATGCCAACCTTTAATATTTTTGTTGGTCTCACTCACATCTCTCTGGATCGGTTGAATTGTTTTGAAAACTTTATCTACATTTTGCTGGCCAAAGTATTTGGCCATAGGCATTTCAACTCGAATAGACAACTACGCATTGTCAACACAGAAGGACAAAAGATTTTTGCATTTAATACTTTTGCTTCAACTGTTTGACAGCCTCTTTTTACCCACACTCTCATTGTGGGTAGTTTGATATTTTCATTTAGTTGGCAATATACTGAAGTTGGCTTTAGCCATATAGCGAGCTGATGCTGATTATAGACGAGCGAAACGATTTTAATATACTTGTTTCAACTTCTTAAATGAGTCAAAAATTACCTAAAGAGATGTTTTTTTTTTTTTTTTTTTTTTTTTTTTTTTTTGCCTGAATATTACAAAATTTCTTTGTTGTTGATTATGCGAAATTATTTATAACAGGTTGAAGGAGGCGTAGCACACTTTATAAAGTATGAGTATTCTTTATCAGAGCTGACAAGCTGATTAGTTAATTTAGTTAATTTAGCCATGTCCGTTAGCTCATCTGGGTAAGGTATCTTCAAATCGGTCACGCCCGATTCTTTTTATTGTTTAAATTCCAAGACTTATATAACTCACATGAGATTTTTCTTTAGTTAGACTTGTTTTGTGGAATATCTTATTATTATTTTTATTGATTTATTTTTTTTAGTTAGTCAACTAACGTTAAAATTTTTATATAATTATAAAATAACACATTATTTACTTTATTTATATAGATTAAATTAGATGCCAATATTTTGTTATAGATCTAATGATATAAGTTTTTACATAATTTAATGATAGATGATAGATTGCACACACATAGTCCTTTTTTTATATAAATTGAAAATTTTAAGAAATTTTTAAATTATATTATAATTTTTATTATCAATCCAATAGTGAGGGAGTTGAGCTCTGAAATTTTTATTTGATTTGCAAGAGTCACGGCAATAAGCAAATGTATCTTATAATGCTAAATACTATTATTATTACTATTTGTAAATTATTATTTATTGCTTCTATTCTATTTACTTAGAGTTCAGTTGATATGTATATTACAAAGCTATGAATTTCAAGTTTAGTTTTCAATTGCCATAAATAAAAAAAAAAAAAAATGAAACTCTTTAATGGTAAATTTTTGATGGCATTAACTTAATCTTGGGTATTTTGTGAAAGGGTTAAGCCAATGAAAATGGAGCCGATCTATATGAATCTTCTATTTCATAGTGACTTACATACATCATCAAAGAGTATCAAGTATTCGGCTTATTACCTATAACACTTCGCAATCCGTGCTGCTCCTTGGGTCTGGCTGGGATATCTTTGTTTTTGTTTAGATAGTGCGAGTGGCTCTATTAGCAGCTTTCTATTCAAGCATTTGTGGCTTCTAATTGTCTTTAGGGCGCATTTTGTGTAGACAAAGTTTATAGTGCCCACAACCGACTCGGGGGCGGGGCACAATTGCAGAGGTCCATTAGTTGGTTGGGCTTCGGCAGAATGAAGTATTCAAAACAAAAAAGAAATAAAACAAAACAAAATTAAATAAATTTTAAAGACTTTTGCAATTGAAGCAATTTATTTGCGTTTTACCTTTTTCTTTTTTTATAAACTCTGAGCTGTGTTGACATCAGGGCAAATTTTGCATTTCTTTGTGTTATTATTTCAAAATTAAATAAATGGAAACATTTTGTTAATGGCCTAAACGAATTTAATGGATTTATTATATATGTAAATATATTTGATAATCTGTGAGTTTTTTTTAACTAAATATAAATTTAATATACATTTTCAAAATGTAAATATTGATATTTTAACTAAATTAAAATTTAACATGCATTTAAACTAAATTTAATTACTGAAAATATTCTTAAGAAACATGAAATATTAGCTTATATTTATTAGAAAATAAATTAATAAATAAATCAAAAATTAACTAATTATATATTGTATTTTAATTTGTTTTTTTAATTTATTTAATTGTGGAGTTTATTTAAAGCATATTATTTAGCTAATTATTTCAATTTTTTTGCCTTATTCATAATTAATATAATATTACTATAATAGTTTTAAAGATTTTCCGTCTGTTCAAAAATTCATTAAACATACTTAAAACAATATTTTATGCAATTTTTGAGCATACAAAAAATTGTTTTTATTTTAAAGCTGTTGTCGCTATTGGCTGTTGAGTTTTTCTTTTTCTGATAGCTATATTTTTAGGAAGTCTTAAAGTAAGCAATTTAAAATTTTTTTTTTTATTTATTTATTTTATTTTTTTTTTTTAGTAAAAATATTGTATATATTTTATAAATACAATATATATGTTGTATATATATGAAATAAAATTTATATTAAAGTATATTATTACAATTTATTTTAGAATTACATATTTCAAAAAATTAAAATTAAAATTCATATGAAATATATGATAAGAAATTAGTAAAAATATAATATTATAATATTTAATGTAGGTTCAATTTATTAGAATACCCTAAATTTGATTTATGATTGAAACGAGCGCTACAAATTATATATGAGTCTATGATATAATTAGTAAATTAATATATATATTGCTTATATTAAATGTAACTTTATTTAAAATTGAATTACGTCTATTTAAATTGTTCATTCAAGTGAGCTGCAGCGCATCGAGAACTCGAGCAGCTCGCCGGTCATCTCGCATCTGGCGGAGACGATTCAGGGTGTGACCACGATACGTGCATACAATCAGCAGGCACGTTTCACGGAGATCCTGTTCAAGCGACTCGAGGCGAACACGATTGCGTTTACCATATTGAATACGAGCAACCGCTGGCTGGGCATATCATTGGTGAGTCCTTTGCGTATCCTTTGACCCATGGCCCTGCCTCAGAGACCCACTGTCCCACTGTCCCACGTTCCACACAGGCTTGGTCAATATGCACATTTCATTTCTGTAAAATATCCTTGTGTGTGCATTTCAATTGAATTGGCATTTCAGTTTAGAGAGACGCGTGCCGATGCAAATACCAGATACTATTTCTCGCTGTTTGCCAGCCCAGGTGACTCTGGCCCTGCCCACTCCTCGGGGCCTTCCGACGACGACTCTCGCATTGTCAGCAAAAGCTGTCCGGCCCGCACTGTCCGGCATACCTCAGAGCCCGTTTGCTCGGGCTATAGTTTACAGTTGTTCAAGTGTCTGTTATGGATCTCAAGTATCCATTGACTCCACTCAAATTGTTGCACATTGTGTTGACGCGTGCAATTGTGGCAACTGGAATTATGTATGCCTGGGCCAAGGGGCGCTTTGCTTTATTGCTTGTATGCACAGTGCGGTCAGCTAATATTCACATAGATATACATCCCGATACATGCTAGTATTGTGTCGATGGTATTGCCGTTATGGGAATTACCTCTGCGCTAACTGACGTCTTGGGCCCTTCACCCACCCCGCAGGCCCAACATATCACTTGCCTTATTCAGCTGCAAACTGGCAAAGTGAGTGGGCCCTGATTAAACAATTCAATTTCTGGCTTTGGGCTATTTTCGGGCATATGCAATGAGCTCTTGTGGCGCCCAGTTGACATTTACCATCGATATGCGAGCAACTCTGTTTGTTTGCAAACGCTTCGATTGAATATGCATGGAGTTTGCATTCAAATAAGTCAAATATGTTCTCTTTGCCAATTTTGACTTGAGGATTTAAATTTGCGAATATTTGGCATAGTAAATACATTCTAATGCGACACGAAAATAGTTGTGGCTTATATGTATATTCGCTCTCTCTATCTATGTGGTATTCTCTCTATACCTGTCTGTCACTTTTCTCTCTTTTAGCTGCTTCTCTATTCACAATTTATGAATTATCTTTATTTACAAACATTGTGGAATGTGCTTTTATTATTATGTACGTCAACTAGGATTCATATGCAAATGCAGATGTATAGTATTTTTCTTAGAAGACATGACTATATATACATATATTAAAGTATTCCCTTGTTCATGAAATTTATAATTCTTTATAGGATCAACTCGAGTTCTTAAACAAAATCTGAGTTGTAGTTGGAATTTCCATTCTCAATGTAAAGTCTCTAACTGCAATAGCAATAGAAACAATTTAAAAAAAATAAAGAATAAAGAAAATATACTACATTTCTCATAGTTGAACAAGTATAATGATAATGATCACTAATATTGATCTAATAATAATTGATCTAATAATAATGATCTCTCCGTATCTAATAGAGTCTGCATTTTATATTGAGACTAGCTACTGATTGTATAGGACTATAATTTTCCAAAAAAAAAAAAAAAAAAAAAAAAAAAAAAAAAAAAAAAATCAATCAGAAAATCTTTTTCTTTTAATTTAATGAAATCAATCCATAATGAAATCTGCTTCTTAGAATTTCAAAATACTCAAAAAAAAAAAAAAAAAAAAAAAAAAATATATATATATATATATATATATATATAGATCTATTTACTTATACAATATGTACTTCTACTACATACATACATATATACAGCTAAAAGCTACGTTTATAGATTTTTCTTATTTGACAAGTATTTCTTCTGCTCTGATGATCTAAGATTTCTTTTCAACTCACTTGAAATGCAACCAAAGCAAGTCAACTCAATTTGAAATTCAAACACTTGTTAGCCGCATGCGTTACATTATTTTCTAATTGCTGTGCAAATCGATTCAAAAACAAATAAAAACTCAACTGAACTGAACTGAACTATCAAGGGGGTTAAGTCTAAAACAGCTATTACGCATTAGAGTCAAAGACTGGTTCAGGCAGCAAATGCAACAGCTTTGAAGTTACGTTCGAGAATTACTCACATGCACGCGCACACATACAAATATAGAAAGAGAATGAGAGATAGAGAGAGAGTGTGTGTGGGCGAGTTAGCGAGGGAGCCAGATTCAATCGACCCAACTGCTGTCTCTGCCCACTAAAGCTGGTTGCAAAAACTTTTCAATTGTGGTTTGGCAGCTTCCCCGTAAAACTTTCATTAAGATGAAAGAGAGTAAAAAGTTTGCTCAGTGCCAGGCGGGCAAACGAGCTGACGGATCCGTTTAGAAAGATATATATATAAAAAAAAAAAATTGCAACTTTGAACGCTGCAGTCGGGCGTAAAGAGTCACTTAATACTCGATCAACAATCAAGAAAATTTATAACAAGAATTGATTGCAAGTGGAATTGAAGTGAGTTTTCAATCAATCAAATCGAACTGAGATTACTGTAGCGAAATTAATTGAAGTAGAATTTTAGCGATTTTTTAATAGAATTATAATGTATAATATATTATTATTATATGCGGTAGAATCCGGTTATAGAGACGCTCGAAAGAGCGCTTGACGCTTGCTTTGAGGGGTAGTTAATGGAAGGTTTATAGGATGCTATGGAACTATAAGAAGTCAACATATACATCAATTTATGTATATATAAACATCGTTTGACGGACATTTAATTTAATTTTTTTTTTTAAATTATATTGTGGAAGTAAATAGAAAATTTGTGAATAATTTCCAATATATGATAATATAAATTTTCTTTATCGATAAGAGAAGTTTTTAAGAACAATTTTTATTTTTTTTATGAAAAATTATTATCTTTTGGCATCTTCTACGATTATACACCTCAGTTTACTATACTCTTATATTGTCATTGATATTGATTTAAAAAAAAAAAAAATTTAGATTGTCCGACTCTCAGTGGAATGCATCCAATAACCTTCAAATTCTTCAGTTAAGATTTTAATTTTCAAGAAAATATTAAAAATACATGCGGATCATATTGGAAGACATAACTTAGACATTCCGTAGAGCCAATAAGCTCTTTTGCATGCCATGGGCGAGCATAGAAAAGCACAAACACGCACTCGCGGGCTGATTAAAAAGTCATGTGGAAAAAATCTTTACCAAAATGCCAACACTAACAAGCATGCATCATGCTAGCACAGAGAGCTAGCTGCTCTCTCTCTCTCTCTCTCTCTCTCGCTGGCTCGGTCTGTCTCTGTCTCGTTTGCTTTTTGACTGTCTCTGTTTATTGCAGGATTACCTGGGTGGCTGCATTGTTTTTGTGGCCATCGTAACGGCACTGGCAACGGCAAGCGTCAGTTGCAGCCGCTATGTGAGGGAGGCTGAGGCGGAGCTGGCAAGTGGCAGGACGCCGGAGATGGCAGGAACTTATGCCATCAATAAAGGCGCCAGCTCCAAGGAGTTGACGCCGACGCCCTCGCTGGTCGGCCTGGCCATAAACTACACGTTGTTGGTGCCGATTTACCTTAATTGGGTTGTAAAACTTTTGGCCGATATGGAGATGTATGCGGGCTCGGTCGAACGCATTGCGCACTATGCACAGCAGACGCAGCAGGAGGAGCAGGAGCAGCAGGAGCAAGAGCAGCAGGAGCAAGAGCAGCACGAGCAGCAGCAGCAGCAGCAGCAGGATACGGAAATAAGCAATGAAGTCGATAGGTCGCACTGCACGACTAACGTTGACAAAGTTTACCCAGGCGCAACGTCAGCTGGCGTTGATGTTGCCGGCGACTCAGCTCGAGCTGCTGATAAATTAAATGCAGGCAATGCAGCAGCAGCAGGAGAAGCAGGAGGAGCAGCAGCAGCAGCAGCAGCAGGAGGAGCCGGCAATGGCAATCACTTAAGCTTCTACACGGCGCCAGTTGTTGACAAGCGGCAACTGGCGACGACAGCGGCAAGGACGTCAATGATTAAGGATAAGGCACTGACAGCACTTGGCGACAAGGTCGCGTTATCTAATGAGCCATCGAGGCGTATCAAAACTTGTGAGTACCAAATAGCATCCAGCTCTATGTCTATCGCTCTTCCACAAACACACACACACTCTCTCTCTCTCTCTTTTCGCACCTGCAGCTAGATGGCAGCTATGGCCATTATATGGCTCATTGAGTAACAATTGATTTATGACAGTTGCTTCAGTTGGGCCATACACTTACACTATCCAACAGAATTTTTGGGACATAGTACTCATTAAATCAATACAAATCTCTGCTGTGGTCTGTGGACATTTGCTGTGTTCCATTTTGAAATAGATTTTATTTTAACATTGTTCAAGACGAGGCTGTTTTAATGAAACAAGTTTCTTGTTACACAGTGTAATTATAGCTAATTACATTTTGTATGGGGTTTTTTTTTTGTTTTCTTCAAGACAGCTAAAGTGAGGTTAAGCAGTGCTTCAGTTCAAACTTAGGTATCTTCAAATATAAATAGGATTAGTACATGTATGTATTCTATATTTATATAAAACTGTTATACCTAAGTTGTACTCCTGTGGTATAATGATTTGATTATTCACCAGTTCACATTCATTCGTAAAGAACTTGATGATTTGCTGAGGGCATATCTCTTGGGCCACTTCAGATGGAATAAGTAGAGTCGCTTCATTTTCCAATGCCATGAGATAATAGAATTTGTTTACAAAGTACTTAATGCCCAACACTTCCTTTATAAGCGGGCTCGGCTGTGTTCCGAAAGAATTTCCATTTTCAGGCTGCTCCATTTTGAGGCTAATTAAATTTGAATTCACCAATTCGTAGACCTTTTCCAATTGCCTTGACAGCTGCGATTGAAGATTTTGTCGTATCATCCAGAACCAGATCAACTCAACTGTTGGCACGGAACTAGTTCCGGTCTACTTAGATGACTGAACTTTTGTTGTGTAGTGTTGGTTAGCTTTTAAATGTGTCTGCGATATTTTGTGTGACACAATTTTGGATCTTAAACGATGTTTGATAAAAATTCGAATTTTCGTGATCAAATAAATACAAATATGTACTTAATATAAAGTTTTATGATGATAAATATATATAAATATAAATATATATAATTATTTATATATAAAATATTATATACAAATAAAAATATAATAGTATAAATATTAATAATTTTGTGTTTTAATTTTATTTTAATTTAATTTTTAATTTTTAATTAATTTAATTTTAAAATATTATTATTCATTTTAATTATTTTAATTAATTTTTTATTTCTTATTGATATTATTATTATTTTTTTTTTATTAATACCGTCTTTAGTTTATTTATTAAAATACAAGTACAAGATAAAAAAGGAAAAAAATCAAATGAAGTAATAACATTCATATCTTTATCAATTTTAGATCAAATTAAATCTTGTATTAGTTAAAAAAATAAGCCAAGAAAGTTGTTTTTATATAATGAAACAAAAAACAGTCTATATTTCTCTCATAGTTTGCTTTTTTTTTTGTTTAATGAGTGTACATATAATTTCATCTCCCAAAAGGTTTCTTAAACTAGTTTAAATTTTAATTTTGAAATATTTATTTTCATTTTATTTATTAATTTTCTTCAAATATAAAATAACTATTTCAAAAGCTATATTAGCTTTTGTATATTTTTTTATCAGCTGGACGCTCTTCCGATAAAATATAAACTATTATTTGTTCAATTGTTTTATTTTTCACTGCTTTGTTTTCATTCCCGTATCGGATTCGGGCTAAGCCGTTCGACCACAGTTTAAACCTACTTGGGAGTGTTTACGAAAGTTGACTTTAAAAAGCACTCGAGTGCGTGCCATGATCTGGAAGACCCTTTTCATGAAGTTTTTTGTTTGCCCGTTGCCGATGCCCTCATCACTTTTTGCTTAGCTGGTTTCATTTTTTGGCTTTCATTTCGAGTTTTCAAATATTCAACTGACAGTTGCGGGCGCAAAAACTCTCTCTCTCTCTCTCTCTCTCTCTCTCTCTCTCTCTCTCTCTCTCTCTCTATTTAGTTGAGCAAAAAGGTCACACAATTTTCATGCTTTGTCGATTCGGGCTCTAAATTTAATATAAGCGTTTGTTTGCAGTTATTCAGTGCATTCGCTTCGCTCTTTGTTTGTTTATGTGTTGTCTTTTATTTTATATTTATTTCTTTTCTTTTTCTTTTTTTTCTCGTCAGACCAAAGCGTTCCGATTTCCTGGCCACAGCGAGGTTACATCAGCTTCGAGGATGTGAGCCTACGTTATGAAGGACAAAGGCAGAACGTTATCAGCCACCTCAACTTAAAGATACCAGCAGGCCAAAGGGTAAGTACAATGAACATTGTCAAAGCCAAACCGGCTTGCAACAGCACAACAATTCGTATTTAGTTTATGGGTAATCGACGAGCAGATACTCTGTAAAGAGAATTAAACTGAGCTTTTTAATTCACATGTTTACAGTTTAAAATTTGAGAAGAGCTTAGAAAGTATGTACTGCAATATTTATATTATAGAGTTCATCGAAATGTGAAATATGTAAATTTCATTCATGATAATATATAGAACAAAGAACGTATGTATATGATACATATGTACATATACATACCATATATTTTAGAAAAATTACAATTGCATATCTTCATAGCTCAAGATATAGAGAGACTTTATATCAATATACAATGATCAATTTTTATTAAGACATAATTTTGTTAACAGAACTATTTATATTTATCTATATTATGGAAATGGGGAAATACGAAGTATAAATATACTTTTTGAAATCTCTCTCTCTCTACATACATGTAGAACTATAATATGATGTTTTTCGGATATTGGGCAAATATATTATAGAATGTCCAATTTTTGGTGGCATATAAATATATAGAAGCATAAGAGCCGATATTTATCGATATTATATATTTTTATTACCGATTCTGTATAAACAATAATATTAAATAAAGACAATTACTTATTATATTGTATGATTATATGTTGTTCTATATTCAAAATAAGTTCTTGGAAAAATAGGACCAATCAATATATATTGATACCTGTTCTTTTTTAATTAAATAAAAATATACTTTGTATATCGAATTTGGTAGTGCTTTAATCTATAATTATTATTATTACATTATTATCAATATTGTAGTAGACCAATAAGAGATTAGAGGGAACAGCACTATGGTTAACTATCAATAGATACTTTATACATATATCGATACTTAATCATATCGATGTCAACGAGGCTGTCGATAGTAGGCGTGAGTGCGATGATCGTGAATAGCAAAAGTAGAAGAGGAAGAACGAGAGCGCAATTTTAAGTAAAAAACGAAGAAGCTCAGAAACTGTGGAAATAATTTAACTAATAGACGAAATAAAGTCGCCTACAATATAATATATTAATATATTAATTGATGTTTAAGTTCTATAACAATCGATATATGCATACATAAATATTGAGTATACGAAATTGCATCGTTGATGAATATAGAGTAGCCCATTTGAGCTAAACTCTGAACAGTCAAAAATACATCAAAATACGCTTAAACTGTTTTGATTGATTCGATTGCATCGATATCAATTGCCTGTCGCACAATAATATGCCTTCCTTAGACACTTAAGCATAAGAAGGGCATACAAAAATCACAGACCGATATATATGCAGCAAATGGAATCGCATGAAAGATGCAAGAAGCCAATCTCTTGCAGCTCAACAAACTGTAACTGTAACTGTAGCTATAGCTCAAACAGCGCCCATTGAGAACTGAGTGTGCACTTTGGTCGCAAACTAACCAAAGCCACACAAATCCATTCAACATTCACCATTCACCATTCGGCATTCTGCATTCTCGTCTGAAATGGTCAGCCATTTGCAAAAAGTCAATAACGGTTTGAAAAGTCAGCAACAACTTGCATCTGTCGTTAGAGAGAGATACATCCATTATCATTATGGAGGAGCTCACTGGGTCTACCAGACTAAATCGTGTGTGAGGCTTGAGGCAGTTAAAGCCAGCTATAGACAAAGTGCGTTGAAGCAACTAAGGGTATGTATGTATGTATTTACATATATACATAAGCTTACACATGACTAAGATATATTTGGTACGTTATTAAACAATAATTCATAATATGTGGGAGATATAAGTTTATAGCTGTTTTTCGATAAGGATTTTAATTGAAGGAATTTAATTGAAGGATTTTAATTGATATATATTTGCCGATTTTTTATAAAAATTCGATATTCAAGTCCCTGGCTCTTATTAGACGAACGAACAGGCAGACGGGCAGCGCAAAATCGACTCAGATTAAGAATACATATACATGATGGTCTGCCACGCCTCCTTCTGCCTGCTACATATATTTAAAAAAAATAAAGTCATACTCTGATTTCCCATTTTCAATGAGTTCAGCGTATATTAAATAACAAAAAAAAAAAAAAAAAAACCTTTAATCATATTATATACGAAAGCTTAAAATAAAAATATTCAATCGAAAAAAAGATGGCACAAATGAGCTTAAAATAAGAACAGTATATCGAAGAGAAAAATAATAAATGAAATAAAGGTAGAATTAAAAAAATATTTTTTTTTTGTATTAAAAGAATATATATATATATATATATATATATATATATATATATATATATATACACTAAGATTGTTTGATAAAATATACATCCTTTTAGTATGTAATAACTGTAGCGAAAATTAATTTAAATTTAATGAACTGACATTTAATATATATTATTTGTACTAAGCAACGCTATTAAATATAAAAGTGTACGTATTATTTAAAATGATTGGAGTTAAAAATAATAATGAAAAAATAATTATATAATCAAAAAAAAAAAAAATTTTTGTAATGAACAAAAAAATAATAATAATAATAATTATATAATCATAATAATAAAATTTAAATTATTATATAATAGCTTCTGGGCTAGGTTTTATTTTTTAAATATATAAAATTTTTTTAATACGTTAAATACAGTTTTAATAATACAGTTTTAATAACTGAAATTCCGTGAAAATATGAAATGTAAAGTCAATATATTAAATATTCCACAGAAAATTCCGTTTAGTTTTATGCTTTTATATCTATGTCTGCATAAAAATTTTTAAAATAAATTATATATTGTAACATTTATTTTCAATAAAAAGTAGCTTAGTCAAAATTGCAACGAAGTGAATGAGAAACGATTTAGCTTGAGTCAATTTAAAGTTTTTTTTAGTTAAGGCAACTTTTACATAGAGAGTCAATCGACTACCGTCGTCTTTCACTTACCCAATCAATTGATATGTATGCTCACATATATCTTAATAACATATGTATGTATGTATGTATATATGTATATAGCTACAATCTCTGTTTGATTGCTCTCTTTGCAGATTGGCATCTGTGGCCGCACGGGCAGTGGCAAATCCTCGCTGGCTCTGTCCCTGTTTGGCGTGCTGGAGACGACAAATGGCCACATTCGCATCGATAATGTGGACATCCAGCAAATCCGGCCCGACGAGCTGCGAACGAGATTGTCGATAATACCACAGGATGTGCATTTGTTTAATGCAACAATACGTGAAAATCTCGATCCGCGCTGCTATTATTCCGATTTGCAATTGTGGAATTGTCTCGAATTGGCGCAGCTCAAGGAGTTTGTCAACGTGCAGCTGCCGCAGGGCTTGGGTAAGTGCGCTACTTTTCACAATTTGCTCCATTTTTTATATGTTGTTGTTGTTGCCAACAATGCCAACAACAGCCACTGTCAGTTCTATGCGCTGCGTCACACTGACTCCGACTCCGACTCCGACTTCAACTCCAACTCCGACTCCGCTCAGCTGAGTTGGCCTTATGAAAAAATCATGTTTACTTTTGGCAGCAATCATGACGTTTGGCTTGGCCGCCTCGCCAGCTTTTCAACGCAACACCCCGCACTCATATCCAAACCCCCCAAAACTTGCGTTTCCATCCCTCGATTTTTGGACTGTCTCATGCAGCTAACTTGTCTGTTTGATTTTTGCTAAATTAGAAGAGAAGAAAACATTTGAAAACGTTCATGCATGTTTGATTTTTTGTGTTGATTGGCTCACATGTGGCATACGTCTGTGTCTGTGGATGCTGCATCTGTGCAGCTGTCTAGTTTATTAAGCGTACTTGCATGAGATTCACTTTAGTGTGGCATCTATGAAGCTACAAACAAACTTAGATTAAGAGCTCGCTTATATGATATCTGATAATCAATATAGGAAAAATCTTGCGGTCCAGAGCGAAGATAGAGTATATTATGTATATAATATGCTACTCAATAAATGTTTTCAAATATATTTTTTTATTTTTTATTTTTAATTTTTATTTTTTATATTTTTAAATATTGTTATTGTCAATTATAGTCATTGAGAGATTTTAGTTATTTGTTATTATGCAACCAAAAATTTTAAATTTTTTCCCGACAAAAAAAAAAAAAAAAACTACTATTTATTCATATACATGTATAATATCTACGCCTTGTTCTAAAACCAATCATTGACAAATTCATTCGCCAAGACAAAAAAACAAAGCCTTTGTCCTTGATATATTCTGGCATACACTTTCACCTCCCTCTTCATATAAACACACGCACATATCTACACACGCACATGTACTTACACACATCTCCATACATCCACACCCACACCCACACCCGCACATATTTCCATACATTTACATCCTCGCTCTAGAGTCGTGCTCGTAGCTTCGCTTAATACGCCTCATTAAGGCTTAAGAGCGTGCTTAGCCAGTCGGCCATAACGTCACGCTTATTAAATACAACTTTAATTACGCACTAAAATCCGTTATTCTCTTCTTTTTTTATGCTCCATACACACACACACACACACACATACATGTGGGCATGGTGACTCTGCTCTACCCGCACCTGCGCCCACCTCCGTCCTGCAGACACGGAAATCTCTGATGGCGGCATCAGCTTCAGCGCCGGCCATCGGCAATTGCTCTGCCTGGCACGTGCCATACTGCGTGGCTCCGCCTGCCTGGTGCTGGATGAAGCAACAAGTACATTGGACAGCAGCACGGAGCGGGCGCTGCTCAAGGCGGCCGACAAGGCCTTCCAGGGTCGAACAATTATAACCATTGCCGTGAGTTGAGCTGAGCTGAGCTGAGCCTTACTCCTTGCTCAGTCTATCAGCATCATCATCGTCATCATCATCTGCTTCTTCTTCTTCTTCTGTTTCTTGTTGCTTATTGCACTCTTCTTTTATTTACAGCATCGCCTGAGCACCATTCTGGATTATGAGCGCATTATAGTGCTGCAGGAGGGACGCATCGTTGAGGACGGCAACCCGAGGCAGTTGCAGCAGCAACCCAACTCCATTTTTTACGGCCTGCTGCAGAAGGGCGAGCAGCTGAATGCCTAGATCTAGCGAAGATCTCCTCGGCTGAATTTACGGATTTCTGTTCCATTTTTATTGGGTCTGATACTGAATGCGTTTATTGTGCTAGTTAAGTACTTAAATTACTTACATTTTAAATCAAAAATCAATTGAATATTGAATATTGTGTGTCAAATGTGATTCATCATGTATATCCATATATATATATATATATATATATATATTTTAACTTTTGTATATTTTATATATTCTTGAAATGTCTACAAGAATTTCGCAGTATTTCTTTTTTCATTTATTAAAAAAACGAGCTGTTGTCAAATGCAAACATTGAGTTTCTAACACGTGACCACGTGACAATACGTATACGCAGCATAGGACGAGTCGTATATATAAATATATATTAGAGCTGTCACACATATGATGTATGCACGGATATTTGATTTTTTGCAACGAGTAAATACATGTGCATATACTTCTGTTATATTAAGAATGTGTGTCGTCTCCACTCTTTGCTTTGCTTTGCTTTATTTGTTGCAAGTGACGTGTATTTGTACTCCACTGTGTGTGTCTGTGTGTGTGTGTGTGTGTATGCTACCCGCAGAGAGCCCACCAATTGCACGAAATACGGACGTGACTCAAGTCAACTAAATGGGAATTTAGAGAGCTTGCGTCAACTTAAAGACCTCTATTTGAAAATACTTTGATGAAATCTTAGATAAATAAATGCAGGTGAGTATTTATTTGACACAAAAATACAGCTGGAAAATATATACATTTTTTTTAATATGGAGTTTTAGTTTTAAAAATAAGTTTTTAATTTAAACCAAACTTTTCGGCTTTATATAAAAAGGATAAACAAACTTACATATATAAATATTTAAAAAAAAATATATTTTTTTTATTATAAATTTATAAATAAATTTCTTTAGTAAAGTTTTAAATTAAAAATAATAATATTAAGAATAATAATTGAAAATAATAAATAAATTTTATATAAATAAATACATTTCTTTGGTAAAGTTATACATACAAAAAAAAAAAAAAAAATAATAATAATTAAAAATAATAAATAAATAATTGATTAATAAAAAACTTTGGTAATGTTTTAAATTCCAGGTTCAATATCAAAAGAAGGAAATAGTCAAGACTCTTCATTGGGCTAGAATATTAGTAAGGTTGTCTAATCCCAAAAAAATAATTTTATTTGAGTTCTTAAAAAAACTCGATAACACAATTTTTGTTATACTTAATTTTATTATTTCTTAATTGAAGTATTATCAGAAAAGGCGCAGACGTTTTACATTTTTAATGTGCGAATTTTAGCAATTATTTTAAATTACATTTGATATTTCATATTTAATAATAAAGTAGTTAAAAAAAGTTAACGTGTAGCCAATGAGTGGTTAGAGTATTGCAGATTCACTGTCTTCTGATTGTTGAGAAAAGGTCTTACAGCAGGTTCAAATTACGGCCTCTTAAAAAAATACATTCCAGATGTTCCATCTGTATATAAAGTGAGATAGTTGATACAGAAACTGATTTGGATAATTTAATTAATTAATTTAATGTGCTTTAGGCATTTCTTTGGCTTTGCTTCTACTTGAAATATTTTAGGAATCATTTTATTTTGCAAGTATTTTTAGAAATAAAAATAGTTGAATAACTTTCAGTTAAAAATAAATTAAAATTGCAATCACACCTATTATGATGTAATTATTCCAGCGTGATTAGATTTAACTTTTTAATATACATAATTAAAACAATTCCAAATTCTAGAAAATGTACTTTTATCTTTTCAGAAATAAGCTTAAATATTTTAATATATAAATATTTGTTTTTGTGAAATTTACATAAAAATATATTTGTATATTAAATATACATACATATACCACAATTTGTCCATCGTCATTTAGTACTCATTCATGTTTTTGTGTCAACTAGCTGGAGCAGGTGTAGTAAATCAATTGATTTACTCGCAATGGAAATCAAATGGGCTCGTTTAAAAATTCAATTGGCAATTGGCAACTGCAAATTGGTAATTGGCCATTGCCACACTTGCAGCACTCGACAAAACATGCAGCACAAACATGGCCACAAAACATGCTATTGGTGTATCTAAATCAGTCCAATTAAAAAAGGAAATGAAATCGGAATCAAAATCGGAGAAGCCGGAGCAGAATCAGCATCAGAATCGCATCGACTGGCCACTCAATAATTGCATGAATATGCAACGAAATGTGGCAACAACATTTATGAATTTATGTGCAACGCGCCTTGGCTTACTCAATGCGCCTCGCCGGGTCGATGGGCCAGAGTCGGTCGACAAAAGCAATATTATTGTGAAGTAAATTGATTGTTAAATGGGACTATTTTTGGGCCTGGCCAAAGTGAGCTGGGTGGGGTAGGGCGTAGCCCAAGGAATTTTTGTGATTTCGTGCGTCCACTTTGTATGCATATTTGAAGTAGTTTGGCTTGAGGCCATTTAGCCTGCCGGCCAATTAAACTTAATTGGCAATGAGCAGCGGCTACCAAATGCTTAACGATTTTCTTTTCATTCAACACCCCCGCCCAGCCAATAATTTTGTTTCTGTGCGAAGCTTTGGGGTTGCATTTTGTTGTGCAGTGTTGGGGCAGGGAAATTGGATCGACTCTCTGGCAAAGTGGGTTAATTGATATGCAAGAGTGGCAAAGAGAGCAATTCGCGATATGCAATGCAATTTTCACATACTTTGTCCCACCCCCCTCCCACACACACACACAGTCACACAGCCATCGATGCAGGTTGCGGAAAAGCATTTCCCATTTCAATTTCCCTTTTGATTTTAAACACATTTCTATAATTGGAGGTGAAAGCCTATTCTTTATGCCAATATGCCAGAGTAATAAGTAAGTGTGTTGGTTGTACTCGACTAGGAAATACTCTGGGATTGTGGAAATGTAGTTAATTATTTTATTTTAAATAACAGCAAGTATACCCTTTACCCATTCAGAAATGGGAATGAAAATTTTGATATGGTGAATTGCAAAGAAAAAACTCAAAATTAACCAAAGAGCAGGCTAATTAGGGCTATTTTATGACTTCTTTGCTTTGATGTCGCATTTACTGTTGAGCGAGAGAGACAGAGACTGTGCAAGTATACGATTGAGTAATATTGAGCGATGATGATGGTGAATAAGTGGTAGAATAAGAGTGGTTGGCTTGATGTATGTATGTATGTGCGTACTTTCTCAAATTACAGCTCACCTCTGTTGTTAATATTCTTTTAAAGATTCTAGCTTTTCCTTTTGTGTATGTTTGATATATATATGTATGTATATGCCAATTATTTTACATACACTACATACTTACATATGTATATTCAAAGGCTCAAACAAGTCTTCTCTTTCATTAGCAGCGTAAGAATATAAATATGATGAATAACAAAAAAACTCAAAGAGAATGAAGCTTTGAGCGCATTACAAATTGCTCTCTTCTCCTGCAGAGCGAGAGGGACAGTGCAAATGCAGGTGCTCTGTTGAATAAGTTGTATGAGTAGTTGTTGTGGTGTAATTACACTCCAAACTTCACCGCAGTAGTGATCAAATGGTAATGAGAGTTGGATACGCTTTGTGTTCTTGTTTTCTGCAGCCAAAAATTGTAATAAAGTTGTTGAATGTCATTTGTGAATAGCTAATAAATATTATTTATACAAATTAATAATAAGGGTAAGAAAACATATTTAGCCCATTTATATGAATAAATATAAAAAAAAGAAAATCCTTTCAACTAAAAATCAAATATATTAGTATACTATAATTATTTTAGACTTAACACGCTATATTAGACTGTTAAGTGCTGGGCAATAAATTATGCGCCAGAGACACTTTTTGACGCAGCGCGTTCACATTAAGGGCGTGTTAACTGCTTTTGACTAATTGCCGAAGCGACGCAAATCGCTGCCGAAACTTTGAGCCAGTTCCCCGGGTTGCTGACTGGGGGCCCCGCAGTCAGCCGACATTGTGGCTAATCCACATAATTGTCAGGGGCTTGCTTGCTGCCTGCCTGCCTGCTTGACTGACTCACTGTCTTCCTCGCTCTCTTCTCGTCTAGCTGCTGGAGATTGCGAAATTCTCTCGTCATCGCCAGCGTCTCCAGCACTGTTAATCACTCAGGCTGCGCTGTCAGTCTTCTTGCTGTGCTTCAATCGCTCAAACACACGCACACACACATTGTCACACAGAGTCTCGCTCACACCTAGGTAATTATATGCACAGCTAAGGCCATGCAAATATGTAACAACAATATTTTGCTCAAAACACTTCTCGCAATTTGCATTAAAGGGTTTCTTCAGTTTTGCTTGTCTGTATTTACTTTGTTCAGACTTCGTGTGTACCGTTATCTATTTGAGCACTCTGCTATTTGCCCTGCCACAACTGTATTGTATGTTGCTCGTCTACACATGTTCTACTCCCACTCCCACTCCCACTCTCACTCTCGCTCTCGCTCACTCTCTCTATGTCGCTCTCTAACTAACCTATGTATACATTGGTTAATTCATTGTATTCGGCTCGGCTGCGTCGCGTCGAGAGTTGTTTTTTTTTTCTTAGTTAAGTTCTTTGATTTGTTGATTTATTTGCTGCTGTTGCTTTGTTCTTGTTCGTGCTAGCATGTGCGTGTGTGTGGGTGTGTGTATATGTGTGTGTCTACACGTCTAACAGCTTATGCTGACGCACTCATCAAGCGTTTGCTTATTTCTTTCTCTTTTGTTAAGGCATCTTCATCTTTTTGCTTGCTAAGGGATTTAGTCCTGAGTTTTCCGTTACTTTTCGTATGCTCTAACTTTATTGATGGGTCACTGCAAATGATTGATTAAGCTCAATTGAGCGATTCCAAAACTTAATAAAAAAATCTTTAATTTAATTTTAAATCTAATTATGATATACTTATGTAAGATTTTCACCTTAATAATATATATATTTTTTCATTTTAATATTTATAAAGAGAAAAATATACTTATTATAGTTTATAGAAATGTAAATTTCATTAAATTTTATCATTTAGAAGAGCATGTAAATATTTGTTTTATACAGTTGGCATCGACTTTTCTTTAAGTCGTTATTTCTTAGTATTATACTAAGCTGCTCAAAATCTTTGTCGAGCTCATTTAGTTTTGCGGACACAGAAAAAGTGTTGGGAAAAAACTTCAAAAGCGTTTTGTGTGCTAAGCTAAATTAAGCTGAAGGCAACTTTGATTCGGCTACACTGAACGAATGAGCGAAGACCTTGACTTTATTGTTTATCCTGGACCGTGCCCCGAAATATGCTACGAATTTGTTTTTGCCTAATTTCCTCTACTCCGTTCTATGTATTTTTATTTTTTTTTTTGCTTCTCTCTATTGTTGTTGATGAAATTAATTGTTTGCGTGCGCTTATACATGTAAGTGTGTGTAGGTGTCTGCACTTATATGTGTCAGTGACTATGCATGTGCGTGTGTGTGTGAGGTATGAGTAAAGTGCTAGAAAAGCACTTAAGCAAAAAGTAAAAGTTGCAAGTTAATTATTTCATTAATTAGGCACGTTATGCCCGTCTCTTTTGCACACACTCTACCCATGTATCTCGCTCGCTCGCACTTTCTCCCTGGCTGTGTGTCCCTTCTGTTAGTGTTGATTGATACGCAGCGCATAATGCAAAAGTGTTGAGAACTGCGTTGCTTTTCCTGAAGCTTTTACTTTTTTGTTTGCGTAGCATTGATAGCAAATCGAAATCGCTGCTGTTCGCATTTTGTCTTCGCCATTTTGATGGCCCAGTGCTGCATAGCGTTGTCTTTACCCTGTTTTGGCAGTGTGCTGAAATGCGCTCAAGTGCGCAACGTGCTTTATGACGTCTTTATGTGATTTGGTTTTTATATCGCATCGTCTCGTCTCGTCTTGTTTCTATTGCGGTTTGTTTTTATTAAATTTTTCCACAATATTCACACACACACACATCTACACACTCACACACCCACTCACATACAATTGAATTTAATATGCTTGAGCGCTTGCTTTCGTCGCTTTCACAGTATCTGTCGCTTTAATAAAAGAAATCTGTCAAATTCAAACGCTCGTAAATGTCTTTCACAGCCTTTCGCCACAGTTGCAGCCCCCATCAAGCACCGCCCCGCCCCGCCCCGGCCCGTACACCAATTTTTTTCTCTCTGTAGAGGTCTATACACTTTTTGTAATTCGCTTTCACATTGACTTTATGTTAGCTAATCATATTGTATGTCCCAACAGAGAAATTTTTCAATTGAATGATTTTTACTATAGTTTTTCTTTGTTTACATCGCCGAAGAAGAACTTCTTCTTCCTGTTCTCTTTTCTAACGCTACCTCGTCCTGTTACTGTTTTTATGGATTTTGCTTTATGAGCTTTTTGCTAAGAGCCTTTTTAGTTTAGTATGAGTTATATTTGTTTAGTCAAGTGAAAGAGTTTTTTTTTTTTATTGAAAGTAAATTTAATTTTGTATTATAAAATTAATGAAAAGCTAAAGGAGAGGTTGCCATATTGTTAGGATTATTAATGGAAAAAAAATAGTTACCTATTTATAAATTTATATACGTATAGCAAAACTTAATAAAAATAAAAGTTAATAAAATAAAGTATATAAAAGATCTCTAAATACCATTATATGTTCTCATATATATTTAAAACAATTTTTTAAGATCAATATTTATTTATAATATTATAATATATGTAATTATAAATATCAAAAAAATAATATTAAAAAAAAAAAAAAAAATAGGTATAAACGTTTTTTATTTTGTATAATAAATATACACAAAAATATAAATGTATGAGCAACTTATTCCTAAATTTAGTTTTCTTGGCTAACTAAGTCAGATGTAAGTTTACAACCAAGAATTATGAATTTAAAAGCTCAACTAATATGAAATTTCGCATATATTTTGCGAGTTTACTTGCATTAAATTAATAGTTGGAGAAATTTGTCAATCGAAAATAACAAATTAATTACAATTAATTGTAATATACATCATATATATTTGTATATACATATATACTACCCATGTGTACATATGTAATATATATATATATGTCCCTCGAAATCCCTTCAATATCAACTTAAGCATATTGACCCTAATAATTTGCTTCGTTTCCTTCGTAGACGTCATCATCATTGATTAGTTGTTATGTGTGCGTATGTGTGTATGTCTGTATGTGTGTTTGTGTGTGCGTCTATAGAAAATCTAAGATGAAAGCAAACATAAGAGCACAATATCTTCATTATCATTATGCACGCATGGTAATCAGACGATGTTCTTATATCCATAAGTAGAGCAGTTGAAGCGGCAAATGCATATACGAATTCACATGCGAATGTCAACGCAGCAAATTTGTGATACGTTAGAGGGTATGGTGAATTTATCGGTAAATATGTAACACTTCTAATATAAATCATATTGTCAATAATCATAAGTATATATCTAAATGTTTATTTACGTTTAGACATTCTTAGCAAATTCTTTGGGAACTAAACATATTTAATGAATTTAATGAAACTTAAACATAAATGGCTAAAATTTTATGATATTATCCATATGAATTTTAAATATATATAGATAAAAATTATATAGATAGCTAGAGAAATATCTTTTAATAATATTAGTTCTTTGGAATATCATATTGAGCTACTATTGTCTTTAAATTCATTTCCCAGGGCATTTGTTAACTATCATTAATTGCCAACCTGCATACTTTTCTGCTTTGTGTTTATAATCGTATTTGTACTTGTGTTTCCTCCATAAAAGATTGAGAGCGCATAGAAAAAAAAGTAAAATACATAAATATATAAAGGGAGACAAGTCGACAAATTTGATTGGTTCACTGATTTCCAGTTGGGCATTTATTGATACACCAATAAATATATTGATTTAATTTGTTGCCTCAATTGTGGTATACCTTTAGGGTTCGTAATGCGATCAGCGCGCTGGCATGGGCGGCTGCCATTTAACATGGAGTTAAAGGCGAGCGACCACAGTCACAGTGCAGTCGAATAGTATGCAAACAGTTTGCCCACAAATGAGCTCCATTTTATTACAAGTCAAAGCCAAAAAACCAAAATGTTGCACGATGAAGAAAAAGCACAAAACAAAACAGCAACAAAAGAAGAATTGTATCAAAGAGTAATCCACAAAACCGGCCTGGCATATGCGGCATTGACAATGTGAAGAGGCTACACACGCATACGCACACACATACCCTCACCCTCTCACATTTGCTCAGCAAACAAAACTGTGGAGTGACCCAGTGAACGACTAAGGAAGCAACCGGCATGTCGCACATGTGGAACTCATTCACAGCGCTGTATCTGCACGATGTGCTAAAGAGAGAGAGAGAGAGAGAGCGCGAGCGCGAGAGCATTTCGCACAGCATCCACATGTTGCCGAAGCTTACAGCTGACTGCTGAAACGAAGCTACAATCGGCTAGATATTGCCGAGCTTCGGCTGCATAACAGCCCTGTCTATGGTCGGCTTTTAATACTGTTGCGCCTGGCTCAGCATAACGGCAACAGCAGCACAAGCAGCACCAGCCGCAGCACAGCATCAGTTGTGCTGTCCTTTCAGTTGTCTCGTGTCTGTCAACGCGTTCGGTTAACGAAAGTTACGTGCGATTCCCATTTGTCGCGCTGCTCTGCGCCAAAGCGCGCAAATTTAACGTCATTTTTCACGAGATTTTCATTTCCAATTAACAGGGTGTGTTGAGTGAGTGAGTGTGTGTGCTTCTGTGTGTTCGTTAGGCTATGCAGCCTCCAAATTAAAAAGGAAATAGAGAAAAGAATTACATATGCAAATAGTGCGGCTTTAAATTGTAACCGTTTTTGTTTTGCTTATCGCGCGCTGCTTTATAGCACTGACTGTGACCTAGCTCCGGGCCAAGACTCACGCATCGCACATACGCCCCGTGATACGTGCTGTAGGTAGGTGTTATTCCATTTTTTTGTATTTTCCTTTTTTTTTTTTTTTTTTTTGATTTTGCGGTTACTTTGGGAATCTCTTTCAATGAAGTTGCGCCTCGTTTGGCTAAATGGCGCAGCACAGATTTGTTATTTGTGATAAGTCAACCAATCATAGAGGCTGAAAAGAATTTGACACTCAGCTCAAGATAAATTCAATTCAATTTAGTTTTCAATTATAAATTCAACTTTGTATATATGCACAGACAACCTCTGAGAGGAATACGTCAGTGAGCTACACTAAGAAAATATTTGTTCTAAATATTCACTTGCTCAATAATGCGATTTGACTTTTTCCATCAATTTTTATTCGATTTCCGAAGTCAATTTAATTTGAGGACAATTGCTTTGATGCCATCTTTTATGTTAAATGGAGACAGAAAATTCTTTGAACTAAATTCGAAAGATTTTATGCGTTGCTTTATGCTGCATTCGCAATATAATATGAATTCGTTTTTCCATTCCATGACACTTGTAATTCCTGTTAAATAATGCATAAATTTATCATTGAAGCTGGCCATAATTACATAATTATCATTTATCATTTGTCATCGTGATTTAGCACCTTTGCCTTTGGCCTATTCAATAAGTGACCTTTCATTACTTGCTGTCCACGGGATACCTCTCGGTGTCTTAAGCCGGCCGAGACTTTATTGTTGTCCTTCTAGCTGCGACTTATATAAGTAATCGCACTCGTATAATATTTATTTAAGAGCTCGACTTATATATATCTTTTTTTTTTTTATATATTATACACAATGGAAGAGAAAAAGTGATAAATTGACGTAAATTCTTCGGTTTCGTGCTTTGTGTGAAAGGTGTCGTAGAAATTTAATATTAGATAAACAGAAAAGCCATTGAGTCATTCAGTAAACAGCAAAAGGGAGAAGCTACTTTCATAACGGTATTTATGAAAGTGTAATAGAGTCAATATGTAGCAAGTATACACATATAAATTCTATTATATTTTATAAATTCCTTAGGCAAACGAATTTCTCCCTTTTGATTCATATTTTAGTTACTGAAGTAACCCGTATGGCTTTAATAATCATTAAAACAACAAAGTTAAGTCGCAATTATTTGAATGGAAAAATTTTATTTAGTGTCAATCAATATTATATTAATTTGAGTATAGTGTTGTGGATAAAATTTATTTTTTTTATTGAATAAATAAATATATTGAATAAATTTCCGTATTTAATTTGTATTAATAATATTTTTATTTATACTTTTATATGTGCTGTTTATGTATCACACATATATTTTTATAATTATTTATGTATTACACATTATATATTTTTATAATTATTAATATCTTTTATAAATTATTTATTATTTAAAGCGTTTCATTATTATTATGACTGTCATTATTTTTCTTCTGAATGGATATAAAATAGAAAATAATGAAAAAAATCAAATTCAAAATAATAATAATAATTTATAATATTAACAAAAAGAAAATCAAAAATAAACAAATAAAATAGATAAATAAAATAGAAGGAAAAATAAAATAAAGAAATAAATACAAAAAGCTTAAGATAAATAAAAATTGAATTAAACTGAAATTGAAATAAATTTAAGGCTTTAAATATAAAATAGATAAAAAAATGCATTGCTATATTATTAATATGTTTGTATGCACTTTTTTTTATTGATTCTTTAATTTCTATTATTTAAATTATTTGAGTTTATTAAAATGTATTTTTTTTTTTAATGTATATTAAATACGCCTTATTATATTTTTTATTTTATTTTCTTAATGTTAGAAAAACATATAGTTGTTACTATTTGTTAGTTCTAATAAAATAAATATATTATATGAAAAAACTTAATCTTTTATATTTAAATATTTATAAATATTTTAAGCACTTTAATTAAAAGTACTCTATTACAAACAATTTATTTGCCTTATTTTCATTAGTAGATAATGGCATTTAAAATATAATTAAAATATATTTAGTATTATGGCGATAAATCGTTCGTTATAATTTGATTAGTTCCCACAACTAATTAAGCGTTTAACTAAGTTTTACACTTAACTGTAATTTGTTAGTTTTGCCCCACTTCATATTAATGCGTAATGCCAGTGCGACTTATTATCGTTGTTGTGGTGACTGTGAGGGCGTGGCAGTGCGCCTCTCGACCCAGCCATCGAGTGCTCAACAATCAGCTGCACTTCACATTAATCCAAGACTAATTAGAATTGTGTGCTTAAACAATTATCAGACAGCGGGTGAAGGTTGCGCTGTGTCTCTGCATCTGCCTCTGCCACTTTGTCTCTGCCTGTGCCTCTCAGCCTCTCTGCCTCTGCCTCTGCCTCTGTCTCTATATCTGCCTCTGTGCTCATTGCTTGGCAGCGGCTTTCAAAGAGTAAATGTAATTAAATACTCGCACAAGTATGCTGCTGCAACAGACTGCCACATGGGGCAGGAAAAGTATGTACGCGTGTGTGTGGGTGTGTGTGTGTTTGTATTATAGCAATAAAGTGGCAGCGAGAGATGGAGAAGGGGGAGGAGGAGGAGAAGCCAACTAACTACTTTTAGTTGCATGCCAAACAATTTGAATTTTTAATTAAAGACAACAGCAATCGGAAAGCGAGCATGAGCTATGCATGTATTAGGGGGGCGTGTCGGCATGTGCATCAATTAATTTAGTGCTGGAGGTGTATTGTTTGGTCAAATGCTGTTGAAGCTTGACCCCAAAAATTAGCCTCGGAAAACGCTTTGGCCCAAAAGGCCAAAAGAAGCCGCACAAAAGTCAAACAACTTTTGCTACCGCTCAAGGCATAACACCTACAGTTGGAGTGTGTCTGTGTGTGTATGAGCATGTGTGCTTGCATTTTGCATTAGCATAATTAAAGTTCAACAAACAGAAAGAGTGTGTATATGTGTGTGTGTGTGCGCTATTAACTGGGCTGACAAAGTCAACATGAGCGCAACTTGACCCACGGGCTAGGCGACCGCAAAGTATGCAACAAACTCTATTACAAATGGCACTAACAAACACACACACACACACGCACGCATAACATATGTGTTTGTGTGTGGTTGTGTGTGTGTATCCTTGAACTTTATTGTTTGCACATCAGCGGTTTGCCAAAGCTCAATGCGTGCTGCGTTTTGAGCACTTGGAGGCCTCCACTGTGCCGCCCCTGGTACACGCCCACTTTTATGTATTTCACAGTCACTCTGCGTGTGTGTGTGTGTGTGTGTGTGCGGCTGTATATGTGTATTTCTGTTATTGCTGGCTGTCAGGCGCAGCAACATATCGGTTTACCATTGAAAAATATATGCGCGCATTTTTCAGACAGTTTTCACAAAATTGTACAGAATGTTATTTTCTTTTTGTATACAAACATACGTACATATATAATTTTTTACCAATGCAAGAAAGGGTATAATAGTTGGGTGTACATACAAAAATTTGTATATATATATATATATATATGCATATATAAGTATTCTAGAACTATATTGAGAGCGCAGTTGATATAGTCTTCAGCTTGTTCGATTTAAACCCTCTCCCTCTGGCTTACTACTTTGCAAGCGGTATTGGCAAGTCAGGCATTGACAACTGAAGTACTTTTGTTTGATTTTTTTTGTTTATGTGTATGTGTATACATACGTATGTTCATATGCATTTTTTTCTGTGGCTTTTCTTGCAATATTTTTGCCGTTTGCTGCGTGAAAATAAGTCCTGCAGTTGCAGTTAATTCCATTAGAGTTCAAACTGATTTATTTTTTGTTTAATTCAATTTAACATACAGTCGTAAAAAAAAGAAACTACTTTTAAAAAAATATTTCTTAAAAAAATGAACTAAACATAAATATACTATAAATATAAATATATATAAATAAATAAATATAAATAAATAAATAAATAAATATATATATATAATTAAAGTTATATATATATATATAACTACTATAAAAATATATATAATATTTTATATTATTTATTTAAAATTAAAATAATTTTATGGCGGCTTTGTAAAAATAGCTTAGAGCCAAGGTAAACTTTACTTCGTTATACTCCAAAGCTTTTTGCGATGAATTGAAAACTTATCAGAAAATTCAAACTAATTGCAATGATCTGGAAAAAATTTGTCAAAAGGAAACTTGTCCCACATAATATTTTCTTTGAGAATAAAGTTTGCAATCCACAACATTTTTGATAAGCTGAAGCTCAACTACTTAATTGAAAATTTACACAAATTGCACTAAATTTGTGCAATAAATGAAAAATTGAGCAGCTATCATCATCTTAACTAATTTAAGGGAAAACGAATCGCATTTGCTGCAAACGATGATGAGTACACACACTTTCATCAAAAATCAAAGACAGCTGAAACATTTGGTTTGATTGCTCTCAATTGATTACGAGGCGAGCTGAATGAATGCTAAATCAAAAGCCAAATCCAATTGAATGCCAATTCGATGTGTAGCTCAATTACCCAAGGCATCTCGTTTCCACATAACATATAGTGCTCTATGAGTGTACGTATGTGTGTGTGAGGGGGAGTTTTAGTTGGTAAATTTTAAGTATTTGGTTTTGTTGTTGTTGTGGTCGTTGCAGGCTCGTTTGTAGCATGCTCCATAGGAGCAGTTAGACGTACGCTGGACTGTTTTATGCTCCGCACAGTTGCCAACCAAGCCAGCTTTTACACCTTAAAATATAAATGCTAGAGCTATAATAAAACTATAAATGATATGTGTGTGTGTGTGTGTTGCCTGTGTGTAGTTTATCCTCTTCTTCACTTGATTGTTGCTGCAGCTTCACAGCAGCTGTAAACACTTTTATTCCCCCCATAATCTGGTTAGAGATTTTTTTTATTATAATATTTATGTTGTATAATATACCCTGTTTTTATGGAATTCTTTTTAGTTCGTTCTGAGCTCTAAGCACAATTTGATTATAATCTTTGACAAGATTGTGACTCATTTGTTACTTTGACTTCAATTAAT